CAGGATGAACCACAGCTACAGATGAACGAAGGTGACTTTCTTCGGGAGGCTGAGGGATGTCGGACCACGGGGGAGGGGATATATATGGCGGCATCGTGACCAGGCCCCCGGCGGCCGGACCAGGTCAGACCAGACGTGGTGAGGCGAGGCGAGGTCGCAAGGCGGCGGCTGCAATCTGATTCTGCACCGATAATGGGCCAACTGACAGGCAGGATGAAAGGAGCTGGGCGAGAGCTCCGCCATAGTTTCAATTAAACTCGGCGGTCATGGTGGTTTGGGAAGAGTCGTCCAGGACCCTGGTCGGGCTGGCGGCTGGGCGCATCGTGACAAGGGGGTTTGCTGTGCGGCGGGAGACCAGGGGAGGGATCGTTGGTTGATGAGATGAACTAGATGCGAAGAGGGTTGCAGACCGAGTAGGCAAGGATGACCCCGTCCGTGGTAATGGGAGTTGTCCGTGTACTCATGCAGGGTAAGATTGAGTAGTGGTGGAGATGTGGTCGAGGCGTTGAAGGGAAGACATGGAAGATAGCAAGAAGCATCGGAACCGACGTCCGTTTAGGGCCATGTGGAGGTGATCCATCACGCTCGCTGGGGCTGCCGATTGGCCTCGCTTGCGCCTGTCGGGTCCAGGACGAGGTTAGCGCTCAAGAGCTCAACTGAAACCGCCAAGATCTGTCCCTGGCAGCATCCCCTGCTGGAACCCCCCACAGCTGGCAGCTGCCAGGCCAATGACTCTGTACACATTTCGTCCTTACACGCGCCACACCACGTTTCACCTTGGGGCGAGGAGCAACAACCAAGGGAGAGGGAGGATGTAGGCAAGCGGGTTGCAAAAAAAATGAGACGTACTGAATGCTTCACCCCAGCCCCTCTACCTAGAATAACTGCACAACACTACTACGAGACACGTACAAGATCTAGAATTATAGTGACTATTGAGTTTATAGATCAGTATAATGTACACTATTTTAAAGAAAGGCTTTTCGCCTAGACTGAAGCTCTGGAGTCGTTATAGAAATGTATAGCTGAATAGCTGGGTAGTAGGAATGGTTATGGGGGAGGGATCTGGTACGTCTTATTTTTTTTGCAACCCGCTTGGTAGGATGAGGGGATGGGACGCTCCTCAGGCCGTGAGCCTCATCCATCCTGACCTTGCCAACGATGGCAGCCCTGTCTTAAGGAGTCAGGGGCAGATGAGCCCACGTTTCGATGCTATGCAAGCTCGAGATGGTCTCCAGCTTTCCTTTTTCGTACGTCCCAGCGGCCACCAATCATGATACCACTAGACCGCGCGCTATTCCCTGGACAGGCCTGACGCCGTCGCTGTCAACCTGCAGCGGCCAACACTCAGCGTGACGGCGGCGCATTGCCCATGTTTATCATTACCACCCGCCAAAGCGCAAGCCCACCCCGTCACTCGTACAGGCGATATTGTCATCTCGGCTCAAGAGCTGGGACACTGGTGCTTCGGGGGAAATCTATCTGATGTCGACCAACCATGTGTTGTGCATGAGCGTAGGCTTGGCAGGCGGAAAAGAAGAGTGGGATTTCTGTTGTGGCCGTGGATACATATGACAATGCCACCCCGCCATCCGATCATCCCAGATTCATGCAAACCAAACCACCCAGCACCTGCTCCACGTAGGATTCGCCTGTCCGAGCTATTGATCTACGCTCCAGTCTGATGTCCTGTCTGTGTCGACCCTCGCTTCCGTTCTGAGTGTGTTGTACTGATCGATCGGAACCGTCGACCGGATCGACTGAGCTGATCAATGATCAGCAATGAACCGTGAGGATCCGCAACAGGCTTGGGACGATCCGGTTTGCTACTGACTCTCCTCTGTGACATTGATACGCAGATTGTCAACCCGACAATCGCTGGACTCCAACAAAGAAAAAGAAACAATATAGATGCCTCCCTCCCCCGTTAGGGACAAACGCATTTTTTTGTCCTTTTTCACGTTCGGAATCAGGATTTTGACAACGCCTTGATCTCGTCAATCCAGCTGGATCCCGCTCATCAGGACATAGATTCCATTAACCCAAAGATCATATCCCACATCCTAGAAAACTTCCGTACCTACCTAGGTACCTTAGGTAAGATAGGTAGTACGGGGTTCATCCTATTGTACCTGATGCCACCTTATCGGAAGGTGAGGTTTGTAGCATGCTCGGCATTCCATCATGTCAAGACGATATCACGGCCTGGTCTTCCTTCCACAAGTCCAAGAATGCCCCTTCCTCAGGTAAGAGCCGTAAAAACTACCGGCCGGCTGGTGACCTTGGTGACCTAACCCGTCAAGCCCGTCCGGCTCCCCGATTACGTAAGGCACGCTAAACCCATGGAAAAGTGGAGAGCAGCGCCATAATGCCAAGCATGACATGTGCCACACCCTTCAGTTGATAAGGGGGAGCTTCCCGCTTATCGGAGCCGGTTGCATTCCTCAAGGTAGTCTTGACCATGTCTCGCCTGCCATCGGCTTCATCACCCTGTCTCTGACGTTCTTCTCCCGCTGCCATTTGGTTCGCTTTCAGTCATCAAGCAGTGCTCTTCTCAGTCTTGTAGAGTCACTCCCCATCACCATGCATTGCCTTAATTTATCGCCATAGACATCTCACGATCCTGGCCCCCCAGCCTTTCCTCGCCTTCCCTTTGTGCCAAACCTGATCCCCCATTCAACATGGCGACCTCACCCCCCGATGCCCCGAGTCGCAGCGCAGCCTCGTCTGCCTACGCCAGCCGAGACTCTTCCTCGCATACCCGAGACCGCCATGACGCATCCCAAGCAGCGTCCATTCCAGTCGAGACTCTCGTGGAACACCTACTCGCCGCCAAACGCTCACTTTCTTCCATGCAACATGTGCTGCGTGCCAATGACCTAGCCACTGATGCACGCCGGTCCCATGAGGAAGCAGCCATTCTGTGTGCACAGACTCGTTTTCTACAGAGGGCCATTGCGAACCAGACGAACCTGTTGTTGCGCGTCCGCCGCAGCCTCAAACGGACCTACGATGCCGGAAAGCGCGACTTCACCAACCTCGTGCGGACCATGGATGCTACCAATGAGAAGCTGCAGGAGACCATGGGGATGCTGAGAAACACGCCTGTTGAGGCTGACTTTCGTCCGCCCGGCGAGGAACCTCGAAACCTGATGGACTTTGTTGATGAGCAGAGCGTTCATGGCATGGTCGACGCACTGAAGAAGTGCCTTGGAGAGCTGCAGGTTAGTAGTTCTTCGCCTTGGTTGTATGGCCAACCCGCCTTTATAGTCACGAGCTAACTCAATCCGAACAACAGGCTATTCAGACATCCTACGATGGCGATCTGCTGCGTTTCGACAACGACCTCCGCGCCCTGAAGAAATCCATGGGCGTTTCCCTAGCGCCTCTGAGTGCCTCCCCTTCTGCGTCGACAGCCTATGAACCGATACCGGAGCTTCTCCTGTCGCTCGTCGAACACTCCCACGGCATGGCACAAATTCTGACGTCGCTGACACAACACTTTGACCTGTGCGTGACGGCTGTGCGAACGACTGAGGGTGGAGCAGATCTCGCCAGGCGACGCGCAGCCGAAGTTACGCAATCACAAGGCGGCGATGTGGTTTCAATCTCTGGCGTGATTGCCGACCAGGAGTCGCACATGTCAGGACTAGAACCCACAACGGCTGAAGAGCGCGCAGACATGATCAATGTAGTCGTCGATGACGCAGTGCAGGTCGAGACGGCAGTGCAGGAGATTAACGATGGACTTCGTGCCGTCATGAGTGATTCAACGGCTTTGACGCAGCAGACGGAGCATATTAAATCGTCCTACGTAGCCACGGCGACCGCGTTGCGGGCATTGGAGGAGATCGGCGGACGACTCGCAGGCTATCTCGCAGCGGAGGCAGAATTCTTGCAGCGATGGGAGGATGAGCGATACACCATTTATGGCAAGCTCAGCGAGATGGATGATTTGCGAGAATTCTATGAGCGGTATGCTGGGGCGTACGATAACCTGCTCCTCGAGGTCGAACGACGGCGAATGGTGGAGGACAAGATCCAGAGCATCTGGCGCAAGGCTCGAGAAAACGTCGACAAGCTCGCAGAGAGTGATCGGCAGCACAGGGAAGGGTTCCGCCATGATGTAGGCGAATTCATACCGACAGACTTGTGGCCAGGGATGGACAGGAGCATGATTCGATGGGAGCTCGTCCCGTCAAGGACTGAGGACGCGGTTGGCGGCGACAAACACTCCGGCACACCAGTGCTTGATCAGCAGATCGTCGATGCTGCACGGGAAAGGCTGGAACGAAGTCAGCCATAGTGATGCCTGATACCGGTAGCGATGGTTTCTTTGGGTCGATTCAGGCGTTCGGTCCTAGGCGGGATGGCGGGGTGTCGACTCAGGCCCAAGTTGTACTTCTGGGAATGGAGAGGGTTGGCGTTTCTTGTCTGTTACGTTAAGATGTTGGATCAATTTCTCTCTGCTGCGACACTTGTCTTATCTTGTTCTCAAATACTTTTCAAGCCGAGTGACAAAAGCTCTCGTGCTCCGCTCTGGCTGAAGTGCATTCCCTTGGTCTCGAGTCACCAGCACCCTTTTGACAGCATGGACCTGGCGCCGCAGGGCATCTCCGCAGTGCGGCAGTTATTCCTTGTTTTCTTGCTGGTGTTTCTGACCAAGCATCCTGTTCAATGAACCATTCATACTCGAAACAGAATGTCCTGAGGCGGTCGGCGCTTCGGAGGAAGAGTACTGTGCATTTGAGTGGGTGAATGGACACTTGGCTCGTGGCACGTGATGGACACTCAGTGTCAGGGGCGTTTGACTCGACCTCATCTCGGTCAGCAACGAGGTTGACAACTGCATCTTATTCATTGAGACGAATGTCGAAACCTTTTCATTCCTTCGATCGTATTCGCACATCGATCGCGTACTCATCCCCAGTCTCGCAGGCCTATCCCTATTTGCGGATGCAGTAATCACTCCCTGCGTGGGTAAGAAGGCGAGCAACACCATGCACGACTCATTCACCGATCTCGGCCCTCCGCCGCCGTACAGCCTTGAGCCGCTCCGCCCGAGCAGGTCGACGCCAAACCTCCGGCAGCAGGCAGCTTATCATTCCCAGACTTCCGAATACGCGGCTTTTCCCGGCATCGATGTCAATGGCCGTTTGCGATGCCCGTCACCAGGACCACCTCGGATGCAATCATACACCACGCATGACCCCGTGCCATCAACGCCCACTTATGTCCCTTACCGACCCTATTCCCCTGCATCTCACCAATCACGACCTTCAAGCAGGCACACACAAAACCCTTCAGCATTACCAGGGCCGCCTCCCACGTCAGGCTGGAAGCCGCAGGTCGCAGTCCATACCCAAGAGCTTCGCTTACACAACCAGACCTTCCCCTTGAGCCGCCGGGATCAGGGCCAGGAAAGCCTCAGGGTTGCAACGCAAGCACCCACTCTCCCTACGAGGCCTGAACTCCTCACGGCGACCTCTGAACCTATCCCAGCTTCCTCCCAGGCTGCCTCCAAGGACAAGAATTTCCTCCAGAATGCGTTTGACGAGACGGTCTTCTTCGCTGGCGGTCTCCTCCCACACCCTTCGGAGTCTACACGCCACTTCTCCATCCTCCGCCACTCGCCTGCCCTCGTCTGGTATCGCGGGCCGTCAACGACTGTTACCATTACCATCTTCTCGGACGAGCCACTTCCATCAACGCGCTCCATCTGGCTCCAACGAAAGGGCTACTCGGGCAACACAGGCATGGCTCTCAAATCCATGCTGGGCACCACGACCTCCTGGCTCGACGTGACCCCCTCCGCCGCCGCTCCTCTGTCATCCGTGCCGGCCACGGACGAACGCGCCTATCAGCGCGACATGGCCAAGTTTGCCAAAAAGGCCTCCGGCAACGCCAAGAGACACCTGGCCCGCGAAACGCACGTTGTGCGCATCCCTGCCGCCGCCGAAGACGGATACTTCCGCCTAGTTCTCTGCTCTGGCAGCGAGTCTGGCAAGAAGAAGACGCTCTGTCCCTCGCCCGTCTTTCGCGTCGCCAGTACCTCTACCGACGCCAGCATGGTCAAGGGCGCCAGCCTTGCCACCATGCCCATCGAGCTGGGCGTCAAGGTCGGCAGCACCATCGCCTCCAACGTTGTCAACCGCTACGTCGGGCCCGCCCGCATGGCTGCTACCGCTGCCACCACAGGCGTCGTGCGTCGCGTCGAGAAGAAAGGCTTCGTTGCTGCCCGCGCCCGCGAGGTCGCCATGGCCAAGGCTGGCCTGCGCACGCATGTTTCTTCCATGGAGACGCGGTACGCCGGCAGCCGCGGCGCCGGATATGCCGCCCTGCAGGCGGAGGACCTGCTCCTGGACGGGGCCCCGCCTGAGGTCGTTGGGCCGGATGAAGGTCCCGCGTCGCCGTTTCCCATCAAGTTTGATGGCAAGGTCTGCCGAGGAACAGGCCGAGGTGGTATGGAGCTCGGCGTGCCCACGGCCAACCTGGGCGACGTGCCCGAGGACATTCGCCTGCGCATGCGCGGCGTGTACATGGCTTGGGCGTGCATCGTGCCGAGGCCAGGTCTGCCGGAGACGCTGTCGGCTGACTGGCACGAAGCCATTGTGACGGTCGGGCCCTCGCCGTACGCGACGCCGAGCATCGTGGCCAAGAACCTTGTGACTGTGCACTTCATCCACGAATTCGGGGGTGTCATGTTCTACGACGCGCGGGTCAAGGTCCTCATCATGGGCCAGCTGCGCCGCGGTGGCGCGAGCATCGCCGACGGCATTGACGAGGCGCTCGGCGCTTACGCGAGCGATGTCATGGTGACGGTGGCGAGCCTCAGCCGCGACAACTGGGAGCCCCATGAAACGAGAGAGCGGATGAAGACACTCAAGAGCCAGAGAACCTTTGCCGAAAAGTACATGGACGCAAGGGACAAGGTGCAAAAGCAGGTTGATCGAATCCCCGTCCACTGGGCGGGTGTTCGGACTGAGGGCGCTGCCATGAGAGATCAGGCAATGGGACCTGGGGGCTTCTGGATTGCGCGTTAAACCAGCGTCATGGCATGGTACCCAGTGATATGTTTCATAAGTGCGTATATATACCCATCTGATTTGCCTCGGATTAAGATGCTGCCGAACTTTAATATGAATCGAATTCATTTCTTCAGTCGTGCTTTCGATTTCTTCATTGATGCAGGTTGGCCAAATTTCTTACGAACTCCAGCTGATCTCGTGCATTTCATTTTGGGTGTCCGCTGCTCGCTGCAGAGAAACATTTCAGGGCAATTGAATCAGTAGAGAGCTGCAATCTGATGCCGTTCGGTGGGTTTTCGAGTGATTGATCAATGGTTGTCGCACCTACGGAGAGCCTACAACCTTTAAAGACTTGTCCGCAAATCCTTACGATAGCCGATAGATTTTTTGCTAAGGTCTGACTTTGTGCCCTCCTTCAAACCGGTCAAGAGGGTCTACTGATAGAAAACCTGGCTCACAAGTATAGATCGTAGTATACTGCTGTGAATCTCGCTCAACGTGAGATGCTCCCGTTACGACCTCGGAAATCACAACGAGACGTCATGAATTGGCTGTGGTTACAGAACAGGGAAATTGAATCAAGCACTAACTCTTACAAAGTAGCATAGCTCTGGCATTGCACAAATCTTGGGTATACTGCACCTCTCATTCGCTGCTACAGTTTTAGGTCCCCTAAAAAGGACTCAACCCGCTCTCACAACCCTCGCGTACACATCTCTGACACACTTAGGCGTGGATGGCCTCCTGCACCTTGGGGTACACCCGAACCATATCTTGATACAGCTGGGGGTGATCGCGCATCATGACCTCGGGATCCCAAGCAGACGCGACAAAGATGGCGTTGATGCCGCTCGAGATGGGTGTTGTGAAAATATTGGCGATCTGGAGGCCAATGAGGAACGAGAAGGCAACAATTACCGGCGTGTAACCACCATCCGAGTTATAGGCGGGGTCCGTGAATTGCAGGTAGAGGAAGGCAAGTAGCGCACAGGCGTAACCGATGAAGGTGGCACCAAATGACAAGACGGGGCCGATGAGACACTCCTGTTGCAGTACAATCAGCATGAAGAGAAGCTAGCGCGGGAGTACGCAGCGCGAGAGTACGCAGCGCGAGAGTACGCAGCGCGAGGACAAGGACGACTATACTCACATTGACCAGCGCATCAATGCCTCGGTCTTTGATCATCTTCCAGGTGTCCTTGGCAGCCGGGATATAGGCCTTGCCATAGAGGGCGATGTGAGCGAACGCATACTGGTTGAGGAAGGACACGGCCCAGTCCAATAGGGCAATCAGGCAACTGAGAATGCAAAAGAGGATGTATGCGATGAGGTCGCCATCCGCGCCAGCCTGCTGTCGCGCCACTGAGCAGATGTGACGCAGGAAGTTGATGATGGCAACGATCAGACTTCCGAAGCAGATGGAACCAAAACTGTGCGTCATTGAGCGCTTCAACGCGCCGCGCGTCGCTGCTTGGGGGAAATTGTTGACGCAGAAGTACCAAGAGCCGTAGACACCGGCAATGGTGGTGTGAATGACGTTCTTGAGAACCTCGGAGATCCAGTACATGGCAAATGTCGTGAATGCGATGAGGCCGATGACCTTGCCGTTACTGCAACCGCCACCGTCGCAGTTGGGGTTGTTCGTCGAGGGCTGGTAACGAGCATAGATGGAAACCAGAGTGACGGAGTACCAGGCGCCAAAGGCGGCACCGAGGATACCGCCAAGCCACGAGACCATGTAGACGTGGCCGTACGTCTTGGACACATCAATCGCCGTCGAGAGCATCAAGGCCGAGAAGGGAATGCGCGAGATCCATGTGTAGAAGCAGAAGGCCAGGAAGAGACCAAAGATGAGGAAAACGATACCGCCAGACCAATAACGTCGGTAAAGCATGTAGGCAGCGGTACCAAGAGCGAAGACGACGTTCAGAATACCAGTAACCCAGATAAACTGCTTAGGGAAAAGGCGAGCTACCCAAACGTAGGCATAGCTGAGGACGACGGCGACGGCCAAAACAAAGGCGAAAAGGATGATGGTGTTGCTGTCGAGGCTGAAACTGCTGCTGTTATCGTAGATGCCACCGCCAGCTCCAGATTTCGAGTAGCCGCTGATGGCAAGGCCAGAAACAGCAGCGAAGCCAATGAATACGAGAATGAACTGGACGTGGAATGGTCAGTCGAAGACAGCCGGGGAGGGCTGCTGGCGGCGGCCGAAGGGTTTGAGCAGGAGTAGGGCTAATGGACTTACGAGGATGGCAGCCCAGAGATCATTCCATTTGGGCTTCTCGACTTTGAATGCTTGGTCGAAGGTGTACTTCTCACCCTGCTGCGGCGCATTGTATCCGTAGCCATTGGAACCGTCATTGTACCCTTGAGGTGGCGCCGACTGTTGGGGAGGAGGATAGCCTTGCTGGTAGCCCTGTTGGTAGCCTGCTCCGTTCTGGTTCTGATACTGCTGATTGTACTGCTGGTTGTAATCGTACCCTCCCTGCTGCTGATAGGGCTGTTGGTACTGCTGCTGGTAGCCCCCATCCGGCTTCCATTGTTGCGCCATGCGCGCGGCTAGCTGGAGGTCGTTGAGAAGATGCTGCTCGGACGAAACAGGCCGAGGATGGCTTCAGATGTTAGTGGATTCTCGTTGAGCTTTGGGTGTTGAAATGTCTGCGACGAAGAGAACGAATGGTGCGAGTTGAGGATTGGATGAAAATATGGTTGACAAGAATTGTTTGCCAGAGGGGGGGTAGGTTCGAGGGGTGGGTGGTGCAATCTGGTGGGTAGGCATAGGTGCACAAGGCGCTGTTTGCAGTGTTATTGCTCGGAGCTGCCGTAATGTACAGCGTGCTCAGGCCCTCATTTGCATCGATGGGTTCATCAAGGTTTAGTGTGGTGAAGTGGTTAAGAGCGACCAGGGTTCATACGTCATGATCGCAGTTGATTCGCGGATTCGGCCTCAGGGCAACGATCGGCCTTTCCCGATATGGCTAGTGATTCAGCTCGACTGGGTCGCTCTGGGAAGTATGCTCGAGGTCTGGGCAGGGATGACGCGTCAAATGCCGAGAAAGCTGTCTCACGAGATGCTCGCACAACGGCCCAAGCTTCTCTTCGTCCCAACCAGAGAGGAAGAATGCAGGTCCCAGAACCAAAGAAGAAGGAGTAGCCTGAAAGTGAGGACGCCTTTGCCCGCAGCGTTGCTGCACCGTGGATAAACGGGCAACAGGACAATATATACCCATGCCCAGCCTTTTGAGACCCACGCGTGGGCCTGCATGGGCCTGCGTAAACAGGGCTGAGATGATCAGACACGATCTCCGGCTGCCGACCCGACCGAGCAACATGCCTTGAATGGGGTCTCTATTGACAGCTCGAGTCTGCGACGCCCGCCCGCAGTTCGTAGCCACGTTAGCCTAGGCAATCACCTTGTGGCATGCTGCTGGGTGTTGATTCGTGGTCAGACAGGATACTGTAGTGTCCTCTAGTGGATGTCTTTTTCGGCAACTTCAACTGTGATCAACGATGAACATACAGGACTCGCGGGTTTTTGGGTGGCGCGGCCCTTGTAAGAGGAACAACTTCTTAGAGATCAACCGTGTACCATGTACAAAGCACAACGTCAAGACAAGAGATAACCTGCCAAAGTAGAAAACGCTGAGGTGCCAAGATTTAACAACATAATTTGCACAATTGCGTGTTTATTGAAACCCTCTTACCTGATGCTTTGGCCAGGAAGCTTCCCACAGTCAACATACCTGGTCGAGAACAATTACTGGACGAAATTACAGATAGTGGCAGATGCTGTCCTGAGCTTTCATGATATGCTACGCATAATGGCGTGGAACAACATCAAGTTCAATCCAGCCCCTAGCTTGAGTGAAAAATAGTTTAGAACCTGAGTACAATACTGCATCAAAATGTACACCACCACCATTCCAACTATCGGATCATTCAAGTGAGGTAGGCACAGATAACTTCGATGGGGAAAGCCCGATGCAGCACGTTGATCATATTTGAAGAGGATGCTGCCATTATGTGCAAGCCATTGACGTCCCTCTAGACACAACTTTTCGTATACTTAAGAACAACGATCAACTAAGCATGCGATGGAACGCATCCCAAACATTTACTAGACTAGATGCTGCCAACGACGTTGAGCCAACTCCACAGGATAGACTTGTCTCGTCTTCTACAGAATACTGAGCCTCAAGATCGAGTCACGTCTTTCATACCTGTTCTGGTATTTCCAACAGCGTTAGCTGTCGCCGCTTCTTCTTCATCATTGCCTCTTAAGTCTTACGTCTAGTTGATATATATCATTTCTCAGTCGCTGAGGCAATGTCGAATTCCCCTCAAGTTACTGTTCAGATATCAAAAGAAACTCTCTTCATCCCTAATCGAGTCAGCCTCCTGGACCCCTGATCTTAATGACGGAGCGCTTACTGCCCGCTCCCCGTTTCCTTGAGGCTCCATAGAATGCATAAATGGCGTCATCATCTTCGTAGTTGAACTCATCCTTGCTGTCTGACAGGAAAATCTGGAGTTTATGGTCAATAAGGACCACCAAGCAACTTCTAGTATCGACGAAACATACATAACGAACAGCAGAGACTCCGATGACAATAGCTGTCGTGGCAGCGAGAATGAGCATGATTTGGTTCAAAATGCCCATGCTGGAGAACAGACGCAGCATGCTGAGTAGGGTCTGAGAGGTGCAATTGAAAAAAGGACCGGCTAAAAGAAAATATGTTCCCAAAGGTAAGGCCAGACAAATTGGCAAGCATTAGGGATAGTCCGCGATCTCGTATGATCTGAAAGCTGATTAAATAGGAACGGAGCACAAAGCCAGGACTCTCATGTCAACGCTTGCAAGTGATCGTCTTTCAAAGAAGGTCTCGATGCGGTCCAATTGGAAAAAAATGGAGAAACGCGAGAGGGTACAAGGCGGTCCCTCGTCCAACCTTTATGCTGACGGCAAGGCCGACTATTGTTAAAAGCCACCGTGCCGCCAAAGCTTTCGGCCATCCCCATTCCATTCCGAGCCGATCAGCGATGGTCAGACGGCCATGGCAATTGGACAGATGGCTGCGGGGTGCATCTGCCCTAGGCAGAACCCTGCCTGCGCCTTCGGCTGCCAGTTTCCTCGAAAGGGTGCAGGAATGGTGCTTGTGATGTTGGATTGGCCGAACCAGGTCATCCTGAGGCGCAAGACAATCCTAAGGATCAGGGAAGGGTGACATTGTGCCGCGGCAGCCTTCCCATGATTGGCGCACCTCTCCGCACCTGGGCTGGACCCTCTCAAAGACCACCATACTGGAAGGGCTTGATCGAGCACGGCCAAGTTTCGCTGATAGCTACCGTTTGGACAGAACAAATGACTGAGAAGATGGTTATGTTGTAATCAGCTCATGTAACGAATTTACGTCTTGATTGATTGACCTGCTTTCCAAGCAGGCTTAGCTGAAATGCTACATTGCCTGAAACCAACGCCCTCGCCAAAATGATGCAGCAAGTGGTAGCCCCTAGCCGCAGAAGAACCCGTCATTGGTCTAATCTTACAACGCCAAATTCGAGTACAAATCCATTTCATCCCGCACACGTGTTTGTTCGTCATAGCATCCATCCATTCACAACTCGGCGAGCCTACTGCTGACCCTCCTTGTCCGACCACTGCGTCTGACAGGACCACAGTCCTCATCAGAGTCTGTCGGCGTATCCTTCAGCACCTTCTGTCGCTTTCTCGGCGGCAGCACGCAATCGGACCCATCGCTAGGGGTGGCCGCGCTCGATGCTGGGCGCTTTCGACCACGAATCTTGGCCTCATCATCTGCATGCAGGAAGCGGTGAATGATACGATGATCCAGAATGCGTTCCTCCTTATCGCGCGGACCGGCTTTCTCTGTCTTTGGCCAAAGATAACCATACAATTTTGAGTGACGCTCGCAGCGAGGGCAGGAACTCTTGGTGTAATACGCGTTGTGCTGCACGAAGGCCGTATCACAGTTGATGCATCGAATCCAGGCCGTCTCCGGCTCCGAAAGCAAGAGGGGCGTTAGTGTGTAGTCGCCCGGGATTCGATGGCGGGCAGGAGGCGTTGTTTCCTTGACAAAGGTCCGCTTCTGATATTTGCGCTTCTTCGGGAGCTCTGCCAACGCTGGCGGCGCAGCTTCAAGTTTTGCAACAACTGGGGCGGGATCGGTCACTGGCTCCGTTGTGGCCTCCGATATGGCGTGATTCGTAGTATTTGCGAGTTCTTGAGAGGAAGGGGGTGATGGCGGGTTGCAAAGAGATGCGATTGAAAGAGGTCTGGTGCTGGGCGGGGTGTGATCGAAAGGCCTGTCAGACTCTGTACTGGCCGCGATGTTTGCGGGCGAGGAGAAAAGTGAAATTTTTGTCAGCGTCGTGCTAGACCGCTCATCTGTCTCCTCACGCTTCAGAAGAGAGAAATCCTCCTTGCGAACCGCCAGAGGCTTGAGCAAGTGGGGTTCAGGGCTCTGTTTTTCCGGCTCCGTGATATCAGTAGATGCGCCATGATCAGTGCTGGACAAGGAGTGGCTGCGAGGAGAACCAGCGGAGCAACTCCTCGAGCTTTCTAGCTCACTCGGCGCAGGAATAGCATTGTTCGCCGAGAGTTTCGAAGCCTTCGCAGGCGTGATCGGTGGGGTTAGCGTAGTGAGGCTTCGCTTCTTGGTTGCAGCGGCGAACGGCAGCGGTGATTCTGCAGCCGCAGAGTGATCGACAGCTGAGTTGTGATCTGACTTGCGACCTCGGCGAGTTTTCGAAACACGTGGTCGTATATCAGCACTAACAGAAGGCGTACGCGAAGCGCGATCAACACTATCATCCCGCCTTCGTCGCCGCAGCAAGTAACCCTCAGCCGAGTGGTCCTCTATGCTCCTTTTCACTGTCGTATCCTCTTCGTTATGCCATCCGTTCGCTTGTCTCCTCTCGCAGGTACTGCATAAACACTCGCAATTGTCCTCGCCAAAGTAGCTATCGGCATAAGTGACGGTAATTTCGTCGCCGACGTCGATGTTGGTGGTCGCAATGATCTCAATACCAGCTTGTCCAGTAGTTACAAGCTTCGCATTTGCCTTGCAATCGTGGTTGGCGAACCGGGCTGGGCCCATGAACAAGCTTGCGCACTTGTTTCGTGATGAGATGATAATGCTGAAATCCTTCTTCCGCGCGGTCATCTCACGCTCTTCTTCGGGTGTGATCATAACTTGAACGCCAGAAAGGTACTTGACTGTTTCATTCCTGGCAATGAAGCGGCGAGCTGTGATAGCGGCTTCATGGGACACAATAGTGTAACGATTGGTCGAGTTGACTTCGAAGGGGCAGTCAGGAAGGTACAGATTCAAGTATCGGCGCAGATGTCCTCTGAAATCAGCCTTCTCCTTATCGGTCTTGAGTGAATTGCAGAATTTTCGGAGTCCATCAGTCGTGAGCAGATTGTGTTCGGCGGCATCAATGTCCTTGTTGAGAACGAGGTCGGTCTGTATGATCTTGGCAATTTCGTCTTCGCGCACACCACGCGAAGGATGGTAAGAAGATCGATTTTTCGGAATCGTTGTCCAGTAGAACACCTGAGGTCAGTCAACAATGCGGTACTATACAGGAATACTGGTACGACCACCCACGTGATCCACAATGGCATCGGTAAGGATGTCATCGTACGTGGCCAGTTGTGTCAAGGTCAGCGCCTGCTTGCGTGCCGACAACGCCTTGGAGGGAGGCATTGCGGATGATCCTCAATTGTGCGCCACTTGGTCAAGGCTCGGAGCCCAAGGCGCTCAAACGATCGCAATACAGTCGTCAGAGGAGCGAGGATCACGGCTCCAGGCACCTGCGACGTGAGAGGCCCGACTGTCGCATTCGTTTGAGAGGAGGACTGGTGAACGACGCGGAGCCAAATTGACAGTCGTGGAAATTTCTGGCTGCCGATAGAGGTGGATGGGGGTCGCCGCAGTAATGAATCGCAGGAACTGTGGTGTAGTGACAGAAGGCAGTCGAGTCAATCTTGCGGTCATGAGGTGTCAACAAAGCCACTGAAGAGGTATTAACCGAATGGGCGGTAGTGAGCTTCTAAGCGAAACGATAAAAAACCACAGAAAGGAGTGAATTGTCGGCCTGGGAAATGTCGCAGGTGGACGAGGGCGCGTTGCTGCAGACGGAAATTTGGCTCGTCTCATAGATTGACGACGATGAGGGAAGGAGCAAAAGGGGATGTAAGGATAGAGGTGAAGGCTGTTGCCGTTGCTGCCCGGTTGCTAGTTACTCCAACAATGAAAGCTAACGAATGATGTGCAGCAGGACATGAACAACCCCTGGAACGTATCGATAGCCTAGCGTGATGATGCCGGTAAGCTGATGTAATCATGCACTTCCGTCTCCTGAAGCAATTGGGCACGAACGGAGCTGCGGAGAAACCTATTTCCGTAGAGCTCGGACCCGTTCATCAGTATCTCCAATTTGATGCCTCTGTTGACGGATGGATCTGGACCACCACATTAGGGGGAACTTCTGCGGTAGACCGAAACCTCGTAAAGAGGACTACACAAATCAAGATGATTCAATTAAAGGTTGGTTCCATAGGTTGCAACCGACCCTTCTTTTGGTCCTAACCAGCGTTCAGACAATGCTCAACTGCATCGACAACTCGGGCGCTGCCCTCGTCGAATGCGCCATGGTCATCGGTCGCAAGGGCGCTGCTCGCATTGGTATGTCCTCCCTCTGTTTCAAGACTGGTACCGACCTCAGGCTTGCTTGACTAGGTTTCATTGCTGATACCTCCTTCAGGTGACCGTATCGTCGTCGTTGTTCAAAAGCACCGAGGCACCGACAATGCAGGGTCCTCAAGCGCCAACAAGGTTAAGCGTGGAGATATGCGACATGCTATCGTGGTCCGCACCAAGGCAAAGTCACAGAGACGTGACGGCAGTGTGGTTCGCTTTGACGACAATGCTTGCGTCCTTATCAACAAGGCGGGAGACCCGGTTGGAACGCGTATCAACGGAGTGGTGGGAGCTGAGCTGAGGCGCAAGCAGTGGAGCAAAATCCTGTCAATGGCGCCGATGCATGCATAACGGGTGTGGTGGAAGGACGCTCATTGCAGAATATGAGCAGTTGTTGCTGTGAGGAATACTGTAGGATTGCCGTGTCGGAAGGAGACCAAGGCCGGCGTGTACCATATGAATGCATGAACTGGCGTTCAAGGATATGATATCAGACTCCATTCAACTCGTTCATTGTTGCAATCCGAGTTCTATGAAGCACTGGGAAGTGCTATGTGTCAAGCTACCTACCTACCTATATATTTTATATCGACTGTCCACTGATGATAAGTGTGCCTCTTAGCACAGGTCTTCGTGCAGCTCATCTGGGCCAACCTAAACGCACACCTACTGCCAATTAAATTTCAATTTTGTTCACCGTGTATATCATGCAGAGGCCCATCAGGGGACTGAATCCCTTCGGGTTACATAGCCAAAGCCAATTGTCGGTTGTCCAATACCCAAAAATTGGCAAGGAAGGATGGTAGCCACTCGCCCAACCAAGCCGACCCAGGCCCCCACCAGCTGCGCTGTACTGTTGGCAGTGCGGCGACGCTAATTAGTTGCTAACCTTGCAACGCATCGATCGGTCAGCATGGCGCTATCCTTTCACCTACAACAACCGTACCTGTTCTCGCCAAAGTTGCGCAACCCATCTCGAGCAATCACCCGACATCCCAATATAGACCTCTGCTCCGAATCTCACCGATAGACCGATCGCCCCTCGTCCTTGTTATCGTCATGTCGTCTCCGAAGTCCGCCACTGACGAGGACACGCGCGGCAAGCCTGTCGAGCAGATCACGTTCCGCTTCTGCTCAGAGTGCTCGAACATGCTCTACCCTAAGCAGGACGATAACTCGCATCGTCTGCAGTTCACATGTCGTACATGTCACTACACAGAAGAAGCCCAATCGAGTTGCGTCTTCCGCAATGTTATGAACAACGCGGCTGGCGAGACGGCTGGCGTCACGCAGGATGTCGGTTCTGACCCAACTGTACGTATATCTTTGCTGCTTTTGATAACTCTATGCAATCGGCAGGAGTTCTGCGCTCTTGCGGTTCCGATATACAAGTGCGCCCATGACGAACTCCGCGACGACACACGGCTACCAGGACCGTACCCCACAGCCTGCTATCGAAAAACGCTGCTATCCCATGCCGAATGCTATGGGTTCAATATGGATGACGTACCGAAACGTTCTTTTCTTTCATCAAACTGTGCCAAACTTTTGCGAGCGTTGACCTGCATTCTACCACGACATCTCTTTACCGACCTCTGGGTTCTCTCTGCGGCACTCACCACGACCAACGCATCCGACGTAGTCCCATATATCTAGACCCCGTGGCTGGCAGAGACGGCCCGTGGTCCTGACAGCTTGCTTGGACGAAATGTGCTCAGTGTGTTCTCGGGACGAATTTGCTGACCAGATATTCCATGCAGCTTCCACGCGAGATTATTTCCTGCCCGTCTTGCAGCCACAATGAGGCTGTCTTCTTTCAGTCCCAACAGCGAAGTGCGGAGACTGGCATGGTGAGTCTCATTGTCGCATGCACCATTACTAGAGGGGAATACTGACTATCGCTAACCAAGAAACTATTTTACGTCTGCTGCGAGTGTGGCCATATTTTCCAAACACAAAATTAGGCTCACGACGATTTTACGATACCCGACGGTTGGCGAGAAGAGAGAAGGAGAAAGAGAGAGAGACAGAGAGTCACGCGGGAGTTACAAGGCGTTCTGGAGACCAAAAACATAAAGATATGCAATACCTGGCAAGGTGTTGAGAATATCATGATGGCGTGGGTGACCGGTAGGTGTCAATGACACAACAGAGACTTTGCCCAACATTACACTTGCTCTCGCGTGACGTTGCCCCTCCAGGATGGCTCTGGTGAAGAATCAAACCAGTGACCAAGATGCAACCAGCTGCCACACACCGTGCCGCCAAGGTCGGCTGAGAGGACGCAGTGCGAAGGTAACATCCAGGACCAGCGGACCTCAGCACCCGCGTGATCCCTCTGAATGAAGTGGGTTGCACACCAATGACATGACTTGAAACATGACTACCCTTGCTCCTGTCTACCCCACCCCCGCTGTAGTAACGCTATCGGGTTGGTCTCGCTCTCCTCACTGGTAGATGCCCCTAGATGGGCTGGGACTTCCCCGCTGCAAGACCTTGAAGCTGACACCCGGCAACCACGAGGGCAGCTTAGAATGCAAACACAAGAAGGGGCACCCGCGCACGGCACGTCATCTGTGGATTCCATCCCCTTCCACTTGCTCTGCATGGAGGTCCATTTGACTTGACCTGCGGCTAATTCTTCATTGTAATCTTGCATCGATCGAATTTCCCATCATCTGTTTGTTGTAGGCCCCTCAGAACGACCGTTCATCAACGTCTCACCACCAACCTCTGTCGCAATAATGGTATGGACCTCAGTAAAAGCCCAATTTCCCTCACCCTCTCTCCCTCGACTGGTTTCGTGCAGGCAGAACTGTTGGCGAATGGCTACTGACTCTGCCCCAGGCTGACGCCGGGCTTCCTGCCAACTGGGAGGTTCGTCACTCGAACTCGAAGAACCTCCCGTACTACTTCAATACAACCGACAAGGTCTCCCGCTGGGAGCCGCCCCCAGGCACCGACACAGAGAAGCTCAAGCATTACATGGCCACCCATCACTCAGCATCGACCTCGCGTCCTGCTGATGGTCCTGTACCTGATGGCAAGATTCGCGCCGCCCACCTGCTTGTGAAGCACGAGGGCAGCCGCCGCCCCTCCTCTTGGCGTCAAGAGAAGATTGACCGCACAAAGGAGGACGCGTACAGCATCATTCGCGGTTACGAGGAGAAGATCAAAAGTGGCCAGAGCAGTCTTGGCGATCTTGCTGTGACCGAGAGCGATTGTAGCAGCGCGAGGAAGCGCGGCGACCTGGGCTACTTTGGCCAGGGAGACATGCAGCGCGAGTTCGAGGAGGCAGCCTTTGCGCTGAAGGTTGGTGAGGTCAGCGGTATCGTTGAAACGGCGAGCGGTCTCCATATAATTGAAAGGTCCGGCCAACCTCTATCCTTTCGCCTGCCGACAACTTCACTGCTGACATTACTTAACACAGGCTGGAGTAGAACCACCCGTCGGAACATTCAAATGGAAATGGCTTTCACTGAGCTCACAAATGGAGGCAAGAGCCTCGTCCCGAATCAAGGCATTCAGAAAATACGGGGAGAAACAAGAGGGCCTCCAAGGGCCGTCGTCAATCAAACATATTTGTACAGGTGCGAGGCCTAGAGCCAGCTGATTATCTATCATTAGGGCATGCCTCGTATCATAACTCGTGTCCTCATCTGTATTGTGGCACGCCGACCACCCAAACTTTCAAGGGGAGAGACCTTGCCCTGACGCCTTGGAAGCTCGCACTGGGATGGGTGCCTGATGCCAATCCTGATGCCATCCATGTCTACAAGCTGGAATACAACTCCCCTCCCCATCATGATGACCCCTGATTATGCAACCAGAGCCTTCAAAGTCTTAACAGAAGGCTGGACACCTGTGAAGACCACCGTCATGACTCCAAAGACCGTCATGGAAAGAACGGAGTACGGCGCCGCGCGGCTCCTCTGCTGATAAAGGTAGGAAACCCCCATAGCTGCGCCGTTGATGCCAATGGCTGTGCCCGCGGCGATAGTGCGCGCGCCGTCCGTGTTGGTGTCGACCGTTTCAAGATTCGTGCTGCTGGGCTCATCCGCGGGAATACCGAGGCGCTTCAGCGCGAATGGATACAACAGCTGGCCGAATATGCCATTGCTGACGACGAGGGCCGCATTGATGACCTGGTTGCCGCCAAGGGAATCCATTGCTGGACGAGCTAGCGCAAGCGTTGTGCACCGCGCTGCAAAAGCCAAGGCCTCGGGGGGTGCGAGGCCGAAGGCCTTGGCGAGGAGTGTTGAGACGAAGACATTGATAGCAGCCGACACGGTGGATACGATGCACACGGCGAGTCCTGCACGCGAGGCTAACTGCGCGCGACATTCGTAGAGCTTGAAACCCCAAACGACGATACCGCACTCCAGGATGGCGAGAGCGCCGTCGCCAGCACCGAAGTGGTTGGGCTGATGTTGCTTCAGCTTGTACTGGCCGACAATGTGTGACCAGAGGTCCGAAAGGTTGGTTCCGGAAGAAAACTCGCCTAGAAGGTCGAAGAGAGGCGTGGAAGTGGCGGCGGCTTTGGCACGAGTGTATGCCATCATGAGCAGAATGGTTATGAGAACGGGATTCATGAGGGTTGTGAGCACGAGCATTACTACCTTGGCCATTCGAGACGTCCGAGGGAGCAGGTTCTCGTTGGACAGGGCCATCTGTAGCGTGCCGGCACTGACCCATACGAACCAGAGCATGCAGCCATCAAGGATACGGTTGTCGCCGGTCGCGACAGAGACCGGAATACCAAGAACAACCAGGATAACTGCTGGGAGCAGGACAGAGTAGCTTCTCTGGAGAGCAACAAGCCACTGCTGACCTACATGATCTCGATGCTGTTCAGTTGGGGCCATCCATGGATGAGGCGACTGTTGATCCAGCGACTCTCTGGTCATTGCCGGACACTCAGGCTTTGGGGAGTCGATTTTGGGATCGTCAGACTCGGGGCTGTTCGACGAAGCTTGGATTTCGGACCCCAGTTCCTCTCTGTCATCGGTCAAGTACTCCATCATGGAGTCTCGAAGGGTCATGGTGTCGGAGGGACGGCATCCCACGTAGGCAGGCAGCTCGAGACGAGGCGGCTGCTCGGAGACTGGCACTTGGACTGGCTGGGCCTGGATAGACGACCAGGGCGTCTTCTCCCCCTCAGTACTAGATGGGTCATGCTCTGAGACCGACGGCGGCAAGGGTCGTCGAGGCAAATGAAGCATGCCTGCGACGAAGGCCCAGGCGAGCAGGAAGACCAAGACCCAGAATATCATGTTTGTTGAGACTGACTCTGGTATTAGTTGTGTGTCCAGAACGGCACCGTGAAGTGGAAGGTACGTACGAAAGTTGCCAATAACCTTGCCAATACCCTTGGCTCCCAGTGACTCTTCTCTGCTAATAGCAACAATAGGCACGGGGAACCCAACACCGAGATTCTTATTGATGAAGTCGATCTGTCAAGTTTTCTTTCATTAGTACACGCGCTTGTGCAGGTATGAGTCCAAGTCATGGCTCACCTTCGACTTGATTCTCGTCATGTAGAACCTCTCAGTGGAGTCACAAAACCTGCTCAGGGCAAGCATAAAGACGAACACCATGACCATGCCAACAATGGCAGATAGGAACTGAATGTCGATAAGCCGCAAGGCAAGACTGAGGCACCAGATGAGGATCTCGCTAAGGACGCAGATGGCGATGACCCAGAAGATTTCGCCCAGCTTCCGCGTGGCGCTGAGGCCCAGGACTTTCCAAGTGGATCGCTTGGAGCACATCTGTGTGGCTAGGTGAACTAGGGTGTATGGGACATTGAGAACAGCATCTTTGAACTGTCTAAGACAGCGTTTGAGACAGCGGGAAGAGTCGATGATTAAATGTCCCCAGCGGGAATGAATGTTGCTGGCCATGCTAGGCTCGTCTGACGTCGTATGACAAGGTCGCGGGCGCGCTGATCCAGAGCTGACTAGTAAAAGGCGACAGGAGAAGACGGTAGGAAGAGAGACATGAATACACGAAGCAGTCTCGAGGTCTTGTTACACCACTGTCTTCGAGGGGCGGCAACCTCGAACCGTCAGAGACAACCGAGTACTAGACGTGGGATTTCGACGCTCTCAAGCTGATAGCAGAGGTGACGAGGTAATGAGGTAACAGCTGTTGAGGTTGAGCCTGCGAGAAAAGAAGGCGCTGACTTTGTGGGAGATTTGACCGCTTTTGATGTTGAGCGTGGTAAGAAGGTGGCCCAGCGTGGTTGACCAAGGGCTTCGGGGCGGGGCAATATACTGAAAGATCAGGGCGACTCAGCGATTCTTCAGTGCAGTACTACAAACGCCTGATTCGAGCTCAACAGCCTGTCAATGTGCAAAGTCAACAGAAGAAAACAGTGAGTGGGCGCCGCGGCGACCAGGAGGAGCAGGGTGTTGCCCAGGGTGTGCGGTTGTGGGATGGCTATTCACTAAAGCACAGTGATCATCAGTTATGGCGGTTATCAGGACTAGGAGAGCATGACGGCGCGTTGTCAGTGGAACACAATGCATCTTAGGACAGACGATTCTCCAGACAAGGAGCTGCATGCATTGGTTTATCGATGAGCTGAGGTCCACGGTGATGGTCTTGACCTATGTGAAGACTGAAAGGCCAACATAGACAAGAGTCTTTCCTCGCAAAAGTACAAAGCGGTGTGTGCAGAAGCCAGCCGTTTGTCTATCCTTCTGGAGGGAGCATTTGCCGATGTTACGAGCCACGGAGGTAAATGTACACCTGAGAAGCCCAGGTAGCTACCTCAACCCAGACCTGGCAATTAGGGTACCTAGGCAGTGTTTGGTACGCGGCTCGTAAAAGAGCTTGACAATAGATATCGATTCGAGCAACACCCAAGCTTGCTGAAGTGACTTATCAGAAGAGTCCTAGCACTGACGCCTTGCTGCCTCTGTCGAACGACAGAATATGATACCAGCAACAATCAATTCTTGTGCCTCCGCCGTACCCCAATGTCTACCACTGTCCGCCATGAAGGGGCGGGGGCGGGCTACCTGCCACCTCTGGCTGAGGTGGCTCGCAATTTTTGCCATGGGGAAGCTCTAGTGTATAATGTGAGGCGAGACATGCAGAGAGATGGGAACGTCGAACCGGGCCGGAGTTGCCTTCATTTCGCAGAACCATCAGCAAACGGTGGCCAAAGGGCTGGGATGAGAAGGCAAACGGGCCCAAGCTCAGGCCGTGGTGAGCGCGGAACAGCGGAATAGACCGGCGGGAAGAATTCCGAGCGATGTTTTGCGGCAGGCACCCGGGGAGGCAACGCTTGAGTTGGCAAATACCTACCTTTGAGGTAGGAATATCGTGTTCAAAACCCGTCTTGGCCTCGAGAAACTGAAAACCCTGGTCTGGCAGCTGAGAGAATGCTCCGTGGTGGCTTGGAACTCGGCTTCTCGCAGCTGCCACCACCTGCACAGCCTGCCAATGCCATGGAGCAATGGAGGGGCAGCAACCTGCCCGTCATGGAACAAACACGTGATTAGCTGCTGCCATTGGACGATTCCAGCGTTTGGCTAGCGCCCTACTTGGCGTGGACCAGGGGTAAGTACCTACTCGGAGGACGACAATTCATCACTTGTTCTACCAGCCCTACCACATTGCGCCAGCCGGAGACCAACAGTATAGCATCGCTAACAACTCGATCCGGCCTGAGGGCCCAGCCAGAGCCCTCTGTGTTTTGTGGTGCGGAGTAAACGTCGTCAACATACCAGACTCGCCCCGATCTGGCGTTGATACAAACGCTCCTCAGTAACTCGAGCCTAAGTCAACCCCTATTGGCACCGCCCAGCATCGACTCACAGACCATTCGCGGTTGCACTCAGGCGGCGGTGTGTATCGATCAGGGAGCATTTTGCTTTGTCGAATGCTGTGGACCAGCGCACTAGGCGGGGCCCAGCAATAGGCTCTGTCCGTGTCTCGGATCATCAACGGGCGACGAGGTTCAGATGACCGTCACCTGTCAATCACTCGTGCTCGTCTCATTGACCGAGGAGGCCTGCGCATCACGATTCGGATGGGCAGACTGTTGGTCTTCCGTCACCTTACAATACCGTCTCCGAACGCGCCATTTACAAGTACTCAAGGCGACACCAATCACCATCACCTTGGCAGAGGACCCTTAAGCACCAGACAGACTAGGTACACTCTGAGCCCCAATTCGAAGCCTTATAAACTCGGCCCAGCCCGATACGTAAGGAGTGGGACTTTGGAAGACCATTCAAGTCTCGAGGATGGACTTGACGGCACTGAGAGACCTTCTTTCCAGGTATGGCAGGGGCACCCTGCCCGATGAGAATGTACTTCAGGATGCACTGAACGACTCAAATCATGGCACGGCGTTCAAGGAGTGGATCAGCACGCACACCGGCACCGAAAATCTTCTCTCCAAGGACGAGCTCTCTCTGTAACATCGCCTTATTCCTGTTTCACTTATCATGGTCTCACTGTGCACCAGGTACTTGTCGCTCGACCAAGCTGGGCTGGTCGATGAGCTCGTGGCATCCAAAGAATTAGCCACAGTCGAGGCGATAGGGGAGGCTGAGCTTAGGGCCGCGGTTCAGGAGCTCGACCGCTCCACGACCATCATCAACAAGCAGACTGAGACGCTGAGGCAACACCACAACGCCTTGGCTAAGCTTGCGGATGGTAACGCTAAGTCGACGGAGTCACGTCGGGAGATGGAGGCCAACTGGACTAGCAGGCGGGCAGCAGAGCGCCGTGCGCTTGGCTCAAAAGTACATGTTGTAACGCATCTGGAGGTGTTCATGCTAACAGAGTCAGGTCGAGGAACTCTCGCAGCAACTAGGCTATAGGTCGTCAGATATGGAGCAGCAGGCAGCCATGACCACCGAAAGCGTACATGAAGTGATCGAAGAAGCTTTGAGATCGGACGACAAGCTGCTTTCAAGCCTGCAAAAGCTGGGGTGGGAGCTCGACCCCGAAGACCCCGAAGAGACGCAAAATGTTGCAACACTAAGAGAATGTTGTATGAGGTACTTATTGAACCATCCGTTATCATTTGCCATGCACCTGACAGCCCATAGGGTTATCAAGTATACCGTTGAGGTGACACGTACCAAGCTTGACCGGACATATCTTGAAGCTCTTGAGTCGGCTCCTCGCAGCGAACACACGGATGCACCAGCCGGCGAAGTAAAAGCCTTACAAGAAGAGCTGGAGTCCCTCTATACGGAGATACTTCCTGTCGCCCAGATGTCGGTCGAGCAGCAGTATCTTGAACCTGCCTTGAAGTCGCTTTCGGACAAGAACGGGCAGTCCGTCAGTCGGTCTATGGCTGCAATTTCATATGTGAGCATCTCAATGCTTTATGTTGTTTAAATGACAATGTCATGCTAACGGCTTTAGATCCTTGCGTGCTTGATATATCTCTTGGATAACATCAATCGCCTCGAGGCACGAGTAGTCGCTGTCCAGTCCTACCAAGCTGCAGCAGCAACATTGATTGATACAGCAAAGACCGAACTTGCTGTTCCTGCAGTAGCTGCGACTCCTAAGAAGGCACATCCAGTTCAGCCTGCCTCACCAATACGTGCTCGTGTCACGACGTCTACACCGGGACCCCGTCGCCGCCGCTCGTCAGGAAATCTCGATGTTGAACCACCAATCGAGGCTCTGCTGCGACTTCTAACTATCAACCTTGCCGCATCATCTGCAGACCCAAGCGATGACCCTACTCTGGTGGAATCCCTTCGTGTCCTCTCGAGAGCTCGGGCGGGACGCGAAGCCAAGGCATACGATGTCACGTGCAACGCTCAGGAGTCATTCGAGCATTCGGTTGTGACGCACCTCACCGACGCCCGACGCGCAGTGCAGCTGCTTCGAGACAGCATTCTTGCTGAGAGTTCCTTTGGGGAAGAAGTGAAGCTAGTTGACCCTGAAGTCGAATGCCTCATAATTGAGCTAAGCCAGCAAATCGCTGATATCCAGTCCAGAATTGAACAGATAGATGCCGAAAGGGCTGGAATCGGCGGGGCTAACGGGGAGAAGCAGAAGGAATTTGTGCTTCGTTGGGCAGGATGACTCGGCTATCACTAGCTTCTTGCTCTACCATAAATAGACTCGTAGGCGAGAGGCGGGTGCACTTTCGCGACGGGCCACCTCTGCGGTAAAGGGGCTTTTTCACTTCTCGCAGGATTGCATATTAACTGCCAGCTCCTGGTGCATGTCTTGATTCGAGAGTGCTTTTCAAGCCTGGCATCGCGTGGTCAGTGGTAAAATGCATGGTGCATACATCGTTGTTGATTGTCCATACAATGCTATCAAAATAGAATTGACAACGCGGGGCGCTCAAAGGCAGCTCGTACCCTCCAGGGGCATTCTCGATCTCAGTCTTGGTACAGCTTGAAGTTCATGAAACGCGTTCTTATAGTGGCGGTTATTTCAGCATCTCAAGACATGGTCTGTAACCATCTGGACAAGCGACAGTAAGTGGCACTCAAGACACTCTAGGCACTCTGTGGCGGCGCTTGTATGGCGACAGTTCAGCATGGTCTGCTACGATGCGGTTGCGCGGATGGCGTATCGATCGCTCTTATCTCCCTCTGCCCCCACTGGAGAATAGGAGCTGCGCCCTTGAAATCGAAGTTGGAGGCGGGACTGAAGCTGGCCTGAGCCGTGCGACGCACAGGGAACAGTACGAAGGTACTCTACCCTGGAGCTTCAGAAGCCTGTTGTCACCAGCAAACCGACTGGGCACGCATGCCCAGGAGTGATCAACAATTTTACCTCGGACATGGTGCAATCGGGACGTGGTTGTGTGACATGACCGTTAGGCCGAAAGCCGTGCTTGGAGAAACAAACGTGCGAATGGCACAATTGATGCTTTGACAGCTTCGATCGCGAGCTGACATTGGGGGGTGCGAGCAAACGTGGTCCGCCATGGTGGAATGCCATTTGTGGCGGATCTTCGAGCTTATCCAAGGGATAAATCCCCAGGCGTGGTCAGGTCGGGGATGGCTCCGGACATCGGCGTTGACTTGACCCACCAGTCGATGGGCCTGAGATAGTAATCAAACTTGGTGGGCATCTTAATCGCCTGATGCAGAAGGTTCGAGAGGACACAGATGGCCGGGAGTCTGATGACACAAGTGAAGTCTGATGATATGTATCGATGGTGCAATTTCCCTTCACGTATCTTGAAGTACCGGTATATCCTGTTCGCGTCTGGCGCAATGATGCATTGGGACGGCTGCTGGGTGGAAGGAGGAATTACGGGAGAAGCTGTTCGAGGCAAATGACTGGTGTTGAATGAGCTAATCGAAGCCAAGACTGACGAAATCCCACCTGACCTTCCGAGTCGGGTCGCTGCTGTTAGTGACAAATGGCTAGGTGCCAGGCCTATGCGGTCGATTCAATGTCCAAAGTACCCAGGCTTTGAATGCGAAAATGGTGAGGAAAATCGGAAGAAAATCGATCGAGGATTGCTTTCACGAGAGACATTCAATCCTTATCAATGTTTTCCCACGCATCCCTCGCCGTCTCCCCACGCACATCACCCACATCCCCCCGCGGCGCATCCCACGATGCCCGTGGTGCCGGGAGAGCGCCAAGTCGTCCCCTAACACTCGCTACGCCCCCCCGCACTGGAGCTGGGAAGAATATGCCCCACCTTTCTGTCTGGCAAAGAATGGACCCCGGCGATAACGCCATTTTCGCCCCAAAGCACCAAACCACCTCGAATCGCCGCCTTCGCCTTCGCGGATGACTGCCCGTCTGTCATTACACCCACGAGCCGCCTCTCAGATCTCCCCGTCCGATTCGTCTAAGACACAAACCTTCACGTGGGCTACTGCTTGTGTATGCGGCCGACCACAAAAGCACCATAGGTCGACGACGGACCCAAGCAACGACGAGCAACCAGAGTAAAGACAAATATCTGCATTCGCGACTACAAACTGTCCTACCGACCATTGATCAGCAAACCTTCTTCGTTGCGCACCCTACCGGTATTGCGCCGTCGACCCCAGACGACACCGACCGCCTGGATTGCGTGCGCTGGCGATACACAGCCCTTCAGCCAGTCAACGTCTTCTCTGCGCCATCCCCCGACCGCAAACGCAATCCCCAGGTTGGCACGAGACACCTAGCCAACACGTCCCTCTACCGACCGCTCCGCCAGGGAGCCTCCGTCTCCGCTCGTACGGTACTGACAGGTACCTCACCAGGGGAAGGAGCACGCCATCCTGCTTCCTCGCCCAAACGACCAGCACTTGTCTCGAGATATGGTTGACCGCCCCCTATGGTAGTGCCTGTCCATCACGACCACCCTTTCGCTTGACGCACCCCCGGCAGGCCCCCCGACGAAACACAACCAAGGCGGCGCTGTCTTTGCGATCCACGTCCTCCGATACGGTACACACCATGTCTCGTCCGAGCACGTCAGCAGCCTCCACGGAAGCTTCCACCCAAACGGGAACCTCACCATCTTCGCACAGTCATCCTCATCGCAGAAATGGCTCCATCTTCCACTCGCCCTCCCCCAGCACTTCCTCCATCCTGACCGCAGTCAACAACAGCCATGTGATCACCGGCCAGCAGCCATTCAAAGATAACTGCGACCGACGCAGAGCACACGAAGACGAGCCGTCAAGGCTACCCGTCAACATGCCGACTCAACTGTATACCCAGACCGTCACCCCCTTCCTTCGCGAGCACATACCCGGCATATATGCGCCCATCGGCAAGCCAGACACCCAAGCGTCCGAAGAGATAAAGAAAGAAAAGGATCCCAACAGCAAGTTCTGCTACCGACACCGACCCGATTCCAAATGCCGACGAGCTGCCGACGAAAGCAAGATGGTCAAGATTCAGCAGGAACTCGACACTTTACCAGCAGCAGACCAGCAAGCCATCACTCATGTGTGGTCGCTCTTCTCTGCTGCTCCCGCCCGGCACCGTGACCTGATGTAAGTCGGACTTTGGTGACCACTTGTCGGGACACCCGCTGACCTAGTTATCTCAGGCTGCAAGGCATCATTACGCAGTGCTGTTTCCCCCAGCTCTCGACCGTCTCGCGTGAGGTTCATGAACAATTGAAAATCGACTTCGTCGCCGCGCTTCCTGTGGAGATATCCTGGAAGGTCCTGAGCTATCTCGATACCGTCTCGTTATGCAAAGCAGCCCAAGTCAGCCGCCGCTGGCGTGACCTCGCGGACCACGACGTCGTCTGGCACCACATGTGCGAGCAGCATATCGATCGCAAGTGCACAAAGTGCGGCTGGGGCCTTCCCCTTCTTGAACGACAGAAGCTCCGTGACTGGCGACGGCAGCAGGAGCTGAAGAAGAGGCGAGAGGAAGAATCACATACCGCTGTTGCCACCTCGGCCACCACAAACGGATCGAAGAAGAGGGAGCTCGTCATCCGAGAGGACAGCCGCAAGAGAACCTGTCATAACGCAGTCGGCGAAGACGACTCTGTAAGCCGATCGGAGCCAGACAAGAGATTTAGGCCATGGAAGAGCGTGTACCGAGACCGATGGAAGATCTCTTACAACTGGACGAGAGGGCGCTGCGCCGTCAAGACGTTCAAGGGGCATGAGAATGGCGTCACAGCGCTTCAGTTTGAAGATAACATACTCGTCACCGGTTCCTACGACACGAAGATTAAGATTTGGAACATTGAGACAGGAGAAGAGATTCGAACATTGACGGGCCACACGATGGGCATTCGAGCTTTGAAGTTTGTCGACAACAAACTATTCAGTGGCAGTCTCGACAATACGATCAAGGTGTGGAACTGGCAGACCGGCGAATGCATCAGCACACTGCGCTGCCATTCCGAGGGTGTGATTTCGGTCGACTTTGATGGCAAGTGGCTCGCTTCCGGCTCCATCGATAAGTCGGTCAAAATTTTCAATTTTGATAGCAAGGAGACCTTCTCTCTGCGTGGCCATGACGATTGGGTCAACCATGTCCGGCTCGATCCGATCTCACAAGTTGTATTTTCGGCTTCGGACGATTGCACCGTCAAGATTTGGGATCTGGAGAACAAAACATGCATCAAGACCCTTGAGGGTCACATGGGACAGGTTCAGCAGGTCTTGCTGATGCCGGAGGAGTTCGAGCCAGAAGAAGATCTCGTCCCTGCCGACAGCGCTGATGCTGCCTCTGCCACGAGTGGCCGAAGCAGCACGCCGTCAGCATATGTTCACGCGGCCTCGACATTAGGCTCGTCGTTCCATGATCACGGTTCTTCCTGCCAAGATGATAGTCGCACCGCGTACGGTGCGGCATTCGCGAACAAGCCCTCCAGGCCACTGCCGCCGCGGTACATCCTCACCGCTGGCTTGGACAACACTGTCAAGGTACGTTTCTTTGCCGACCTGTTCTTCTGCGTGTGCAACTCGCTGACCTGCCTTAGCTTTGGTGTACGGCGTCAGGCAAATGCCTCCGTACCATGTTTGGGCACGTCGAGGGCATCTGGGGTCTCGTCGGTGACTCATTGCGAATGGTGACCGGTGCGAATGATGCCATGGTCAAAATTTGGGATCCCCGATCTGGCAAGTGTGAGAGAACATTTACTGGCCATACGGGACCAGTAACATGCGTTGGACTCAGCGACAGCCGCATGGCGAGCGGCAGTGAAGATGGAGAAGTGCGGCTTTACAGTTTCGAAGCCGACGTGCCTCTCCTCGAAGAGTACGGCACCCCGACGTGATCTTCCGGACCGGCTGGTATTCTATGTACGCCAAAACAACATTTTCGATTTCGGGTTTTGAGCGATGGATTTCGTTTACGTTTGGTATTTGGATCTCAGGCGCAGGTTGGACGTGTCCTTGGGGATATGCATTAGAACCAGGGACGGCTGTACTGGTTGGATCCTTGGGCGCTTGGGTTTTGTCGTGCATCCACAAAACAGGCATATTTAACGACTCGGCCAGGGAAAAGGTTACCGGCGCAGGGAACGGGATTATTCTGATAAATGTGCAACGATAGGAAGGCATATTCGTGAGCCAAATAGAGAGCCGGATTTATTGACATTCATCTCCCCAGTGCTTCAACTGTCGACCAACGATGCTCTGCTTTGGTGCATGTCAGCTCGCCATCTGTCCCTGAGCTATGCTTTGTATTTTGTGACGTATTTCGGCTACCTCTCGGGACGACTTGTTTTTCTGCTTACCTACCTAGGTACCTAGGTAGGTAGGTGTTGCACGCTTCAGTCGGCAACCGACCCTGCCTTGAGGTACACGACCGATGTCTTAGTACAGGTGCCCCCCACCTGGTTGGGATGGCGGGCTTGGGCGGGGTATGGCCAGCTTCGCCTTTGGGCGGGGTCCACCACCTACCACATCAGGGCGACAAAACATCTCACTGAACTTTTCGGCCCTCATTCCGCGATTTTCAGTCTTGCAGGAGGTTCGTCCGGTTTGTCTTCTGGTCTTCACCTGTCACGAGATTGTGTCCTTGTCAACGCTATGGCCCGCTTCCGCATAACTACGCCGTCCCTCTTCAAGGGCCTCCCTGCATCGTCCGTTCGCATCATTGCCTTCCTTATCTCTGTCAACGTCGTTCTCTGGATCATTGCCGCCATCATACTCGCGGCACATCCTTCGCTTCTTTCTGCCGCCGCCCTCGCGTATGTCCTGGGACTTCGCCATGCCCTTGACGCTGATCACATCTCTGCAATCGACCTTATGACGCGTCGCCTCATCGCTTCGGGCCAGCGACCTGTTTCTGTCGGGACATTCTTTTCCCTCGGCCACAGCACCGTTGTTATCATAACCTGTGTTGTCGTCGCCGCCACCAGCGGAGCTTTGCGGAACCGCTTTGATGGCCTCGCACGCGTCGGCAACATTGTTGGTACTGCCGTCAGCGCCACCTTCCTGCTCCTGCTTTGCGCGGGCAACGGCTGGGTGCTGTACCGGCTCATCCAGCAACTCAACGAGAGGCTAGAAGAAGAGAGGGCCAGGGCGATTTCAGATGCGAGCAACGGCAACGAAGACGAGCATGTCGACGATGCGGTGCAGAATTTGCGGCTGGAAGGGGAAGGCTTCCTGGCCACCGTCTTTCGGAGGGTCTTCCGAATCGTCGACAGACCTTGGAAGATGTTTCCTCTCGGCATCTTGTTCGGACTCGGTTTCGACACGAGCTCCGAAATCGCCATTCTTGGCCTCTCGAGCGTACATGGAGCACAGGGAACGAGCATCTGGCTCATCCTCATCTTTCCTGTGCTGTTTACAGGTAATAACCCCCCGAACCCTCCTCTCAAGACGCACACACATACACACACGGGCACTACTGACTCTGCCACAGCGGGAATGTGCATGCTTGATACGACCGATGGTGCCCTCATGATGGCTCTTTACACCAACAAGGCCTTCTCTAAAGATCATGTTGCCATCCTCTACTATACAATAGTTCTCACAGGCATCACCGTCTTCGTGTCGGCCTTCATCGGTCTCGTGCAGCTATTCACCCTCATCCAGAATGTAGGCGATCTCGAGGGAGGGTTCTGGGACGCAATCGAAGCCATCGGCGACCACTTTGACGTCATTGGTGCCTGCATTTGCGGGTTGTTTGTTATCATCGGCATAGGATCTGTCGTGGTGTACCGTCCCTGGCGCAGGAGGGCTAACCGGCAGGGTCGCCTGACAGCTGTCCCAACCCCCAGCGACGATGAGGAAGACGCCGGCGCGAGGCGGCATTCGGAGGAGCCCCTGCTGGGAAATCAATAGATCAATTGAGCAACTTGTGTTTGATCCGTGGATGGCTTTGCCATTGTGGCTTCTGACCCTTTGAGTACCACATGAACTTCATCTGGCAAGTCAGATCGACTGCTTTATCCTGATGATGCTCATCAGTTCACTCAATTGTGCATCGGGCAGGTTTATACCCTGAAGATAGCGGCAGTGTCGTTTCCGCCTAACCCGTGCGATGTTGCAATCGTGACGTACGAATGATGATTGGCTGTTCTACAGGAGGGCCCAGAATGGAGTCGGCCAGCATGGACGACGCCTACCAGGACAGCCACCCCAACTTGAAGATCCAACAAGGAGGAGCTTCGAGTTGATTATTCACTATTGACTAAAGGATAGAGTACATTATATGGCATTCTCCAGACGTTCGTACTTAGGTCTTGACCGGACTTGAACATCTCCGGCGACTCCGATCGGCGGCCGTCGACACGATAGGCATGAGCGAGGTACTCGATGTTGACAGAGCGGGGCCAGCGGGTACCACCAAAAGAAGTTTTCAACCAAGTATGTCCAATAGATAATGGCCTAGCGGCTATCCGGCGCCCTTCAAGGACACTGGCAATACCATGCTGCAGTGTTGGCTTGGCACGGCGCCGGTGCAAAACTCCCTCTCCAGTCTGTTCTGCAGCATATTACGCCAATGAAAAGGCGCATTATCGACTCCTCACTGAAGATCGGCCCATATCAGAATCCAGGGTGCAGGAGCTCCATCCGTATATATAAGTCAGGGCGTGTTCCTTGGCCACCCAAGAAGTCAGACCACCATTGGAGCACTTCTCGAAACCACGCCTTTGTCTCCGCCATGTACAAACAGCTCATTGCCGCCATTGCCTGGTTGGCCAACATAGCCGCAGCTGAGACTGTCCACGGTGCAGTGGTTTTTAGTCGCCATGGAGATCGTAAGTCCCTCTGAGCCAGTTTGAGAGCATTGACGACACCAGTCTCATCATTCTTGGAATACGACTGACATGCATAAGGCACGACCAAGTGGTACGGCGCTCAAAGGCTTACCAGCCTTGGTGCGTCGCAGAATTTCAAAGTCGGCAGCGAGTACAGAGCCCGTTACCTGGATTCCAGCTCGTCCAGCCAGATCCTCGGCGTCTCCGAGGACCAATATATTGGCTCGCAAATCTTTGCCAGCGCGCCTGACCAGAGTATTCTTCTGAGCACAGCCACGGCATTCCTTCAGGGCCTCTATCCTCCTCTGATTGACCTCGCCCCGGCGATTGCCACTCAAACCCTTAACAACGGCACGAACAGCACAAGCCCTCTCGATGGCTACCAGTACGTCCTGCTGCACGGTGTTGCCGATAACTCGCCCGACACGATCTGGATCAAGGGCGACGACGCCTGCCCGGCTTACGTGAATGCCTCCAAGTCGTTCAAGACGAGCGACCTTTTCGCAGAGCGTGTTGAGGCTACGCGTGATTTCTACGGGAGCTTCTACGACGTACTGAGTGAGGGTGTCTACAACCTCAAGCCCGAGAACATGACCTACGCCAAAGCCTACGATATCTTTGACCTCATCAATGTTGCACGCATCCACAACATGACCTCAGCTGCTCGCAATGTTTCAAACGAGGATCTCTTCCAACTGCGCACCCTTGCCGATTCGGCGGAGCATGGCCTCAACTGGAACGAGTCGCAGCCCATGCGCGCTCTGGGTGCGGAGACACTTTCGGGCGCGGTTCTCACGCAGTTAAACCAGACTGTTGCGTCCAAGGGAAAGCTGAAGTTCTCCTTTCTGGCCGGAAGTTATGACACTTTCCTTGCTTTCTTTGGTCTAGCCGGCTTGCTCGAGGTTTCTGATAATTTTTACGGCCTGCCAGACTACGCTTCCACCATGTCATTTGAGCTTTTCAGCGACGACGCTCAGGAATTTCCTGCGAACCCAGATGAAGATCTCCGCGTGCGCTGGCTGTTCAAGAATGGCACTGATGGCGATCTGACCACCTTCCCTCTGTATGGCACTGGCGAGGAGTCCCTTTCTTGGTCGCGCTTTGTCTCCGAGACGCAGAAGCGCGCCATCAGCGATGTCGGTACTTGGTGCAACAAGTGCGTAGCTGCCGAAGATTTTTGCGCCGCCTACGAGGATGATGCCAGCTCGCAGAGCGAGGGCAGCGACAACAATGAAAGCGGAGGCATGTCCAACGCTGTTGCTGGGGTCATCGGAGCCGTTGTAGCGCTGGCCGTTGCAGGCCTGGCGGCTGCCATCTTCTTTTTCCTTCGCAGGCGCAAAGGCTCCGTTGCTTCCAGCAAGGGTAGCGTGAAAAGCGTCAGTACCGACGCGAGCCGGCACAAGGTTTGAGTCTTCAGGCATCTAGTTACCGTGCCCTGAGTATACGCCTGGAAGTGTCATATTAGTCAAAAGTGGATAAACGACACTGTAGTGCCCGAGCAAATAATGCTCATGAACGTTTGTTCTCATAGCCTCTCAGCGATTGTGGAAGAGATGGAGGCTTCATTATGTAACCAAGTGCGCCTTGCGGTGTGAAATGTGCCTCAGTACCTGGGCGGTGGCTTGAAGCTGTTGCAGATCTGGCAGCGCTAAGCCCCGAACACTGTGATCACGCGGCAGACCAGGGGCCACAAGGCCACGGCGCAAGCCATACACCACAGAAAAAGGCCAAGTCGCAAGGCGTTTTCGAGGTGCAGCTCATTCGCGTTATCCACAGCGCCAATTGTTCGAAATGTGTTAAAGCATATGTCCCGGTGTACGCTGCTGTCGCAACATACTCTGACCTACATAGACACCAAAGCCCACGAAGACGTATCGACCTTTGATCGCCATGACCGCGCAACCCATCTGCGTGTTTGAGGATGTATGGACTAGGAACACGAAGCGAATCCCGCTGCAGAAACCCGCCAGAGTACGACAAACAGGACTGAATTGCGGAGAATCAAACTAACTGTGGCCAACAGCAACACATTGAGCTGGCTGAGCTCTTTCTCAAGTTGGTACCACACCTTGGGACGAGCGAGAAGGGTAGAATAGACGATGAAGCGCTGGCGTACTCTGAATGGCGCTACATCGTGTACCTCCGTTTTCTCGACTACAGCCGATTGACGCCGAATGATCATCCTCCCCCATTGTATGCCTGCTTCCATATACCTACCGGAACGGCCAGTAAGACTGATGAACAGTAGGGATGTTGCCATGATCTGGTACTGTCATCTTATGAAGCCCTCGCGCTTTCATGGGCATTTGTGGGCTGGCAAAACCAGATTCAACCAAACTTTTGGTCTCGTTCATCGCCATTTCCCAATGAGCAAGATCTTGTCTATGGACTGGTCGCCCAAAGAGACACAACGAGCGTGGCGCAAGTACAATCAAATGACTGGAGGCGTAGGCCACGAACTCACGTATCAACTGTGGACACGCCCGCCGTGGGAAGATGCAAAAAGCAATCGCCGGCAGTCGACTTCTGGTAGCCTGCTCTCCCGTTTGATGAAAAAGACTTCGGTTCATAGTGATGGGCAGCCAGATCAGCCGAACAAACCTATTGGGGCTGGTGTTGCTTCCTGGGAAAAAAAGGCGTCTCCATCGGAACGGCAGATCAAAATGCAGGTCTGGAATCGCTGCGCCCTAGGCCCCAGCGTCGAGCTGCCCAGAGCGATGGACATCGCGTCATACACAGCCTTTCGGACAGGCAAGCGGTATGAGCGTTGCAAGTTACAAAGCAGCCACGAGGAGTTTTCACAACAATGCGAGCTTTGCCCCTGGCCTTACTTGCAGGATCTCCGAGAAGACTTGGAGCGATCGATCCAGTACTGGAAAACTTTGGTCCGAGCCCGAGATACGATTCCACGTTTTGCGGAGGGGTTGACCGAGGCCATTGGGGACTACAGAGACTTCGTGTTGATGTTCCGCGATAGCATTGCCAGGTTCAAGCAGGGCCATTACGTATCCAAGTTCGATCCCAAGGTCGTCGACAGGCATCCTGGAAGCCAACCGCCTGGCCCATCGAAAGCCCGCTTTGGCAAGCTAATGCCACCTACGTTGGAGGTCGATCTACTATGGCGTACTCATCGACTGTTCCCTGGGCAGTATTGGGAATTCTCCCTGATAAGAGGCTTGTGGCTGATCGAGCCGGAATGCACAGTGAATCCCGACAGCGCGAGGGTGTTGCTCGCGGAAGCTCGACAGCTGTGGAAGAAGGCTGAGATTGAGCCACCCACGATCAACTCTATAGATCAGTGGCTCGAATCATACCTACCGGATTTCGCAAGACCAGCGCCAAAGGGAGTCGAACGGGAGCCCTTGGATGTGTTACTGAATGGATGTAAGGAAGGAAACCCTAGATTCAGGAGAAACGACGGGTATAGTCCGGGAGGCGGTGGTGGTGGAGTGGCGGGCGATAGCAGCGGGTGCGGCGGCGGTGACGGGGGCGGAGGCGGCGGGGGCGAGTAGAAAGACTTCCGGAAATTCAGTTAACGAGCCCATGTTTATGTTCTGGCTCTGCCTGACGGGGAATAGAAGTGACATGAGAAAGTGGCGTGGTACGAGTGAAGTTTGGCGGGTCAAGTTCCAGCTGCCATGTACCACAATATGGTGGTGGGCGTCTGAAGGACAACGGCGACAGTCTGGGCCGCAACAAACAAAAGTCTAACCTCGGCAAAGAACAGGCTCGACCATCTGCGCATCGCCATCGCATCCAGGACCTACATGTCCCACCACAATTATGTGGCGAGGTTCGTTCAAGGGGCCATGAACGTGCCCTGCCACTGCCGGAATGGGCCGGGACCCACAAATTGACTTCCCCGCAAACCCGCAATCACAAGCTCGGCTCACGGTCGGTAAAGTCGTCGTGCATCAGGAGCTGAGCGCGGCTTGGGGCGACGTCACTGGGTCACGTCCTGGATATCACAGGCCGAGAGAAGATGTGCAGCCCAGATCGTCTACCAGCCGACGCGCCACGATCTCGCCGATCAATGTCATCCATTCGCCCAGTGATCCAGCGGCCACAAAAAACTAGCAGTGGGAGCAGTGCACCTTTCTCTGTAGGTCAATTGGCGTGTTCTCTCAGATGCCAGAGCCTGATGTGGACGCAAGCGGCTTGACTCCGTTACGCCGAGCTGTCGCAAGCCATCGAGGTGCCCCCTTCCCACACGTGTTTCAACCCGCTCTGGAGGAGTAGGAGGCTTATTGTATCTTATCCCCTGCCTCCCTCCCCTCAGTCGCCGTCTCCGCTTGCCATGGGCCAGCCCCAGACTCACTTCGGGAGAGCTAGGAGTCTAGCTGGGTACTTCCCTTTCCATCCCATCCCGGTGCCGCGGATGAAAGGGCGAAGCAGCTGGTCGAAAGTATTGAAGGCGGTTTCGCGCGAGACGTTGAGTCATCTGGTCAGTCGGTCGCCAGTCGCGCCGCCGTCTCATGGCTGGTGCCATTGTTAACCGTGGCACCGCCTTTTCGGCGCCGAGGATGTCTCCCATCTGACAAGCCGTTTCGTCATATTTCTGGTCCCTTCTGCACTCGCCTGATCTTCTCTTCTTGTTTCTTCTGTCCTTGTCATACTCGTGTTTCTCTCCATTGGCATCGTTAGCTTGACCTTGCTTTCGCGCCCATTCCACTCCATCTCGTCGCTGGTTCTGTGTCCGACTCCCAGCACCACGAATACCACCACCCCGTCACCAGGTAGAAGCTACATTCGTACCACACCACATGGCTACCAAGGTCAAAGCCGACGGCAAGACGCCGCCCTCGGCGGCAACCAACTTGATTGGTACGACATTCGGCCATGGCATCATCTCCGAAGCTTGTATACTAACTCATATCTACAGCCGGAGGCGCTGCCGGTATGATGGAGGCGCTCGCGTGTCACCCACTGGGTAAGCATGGCCAGGTTGATTGTTGCTAGAGCGGCCAATTGACAAAGACAAGACACGATCAAGGTTCGCATGCAGCTGTCGAGGCGAGCGCGGCAACCTGGCGCACCAAAACGCGGATTTGTTCGTACCGGCGTCGAGATTGTGAAGCGTGAGACACCCCTAGCGCTGTACAAGGGCCTCGGTGCTGTCATGACTGGCATCGTGCCCAAGATGGCCATTCGTTTCACGAGCTTCGAAACCTACAAGCAGCTGCTGGCTGATAAGAGCACGGGGGTCGTCAGCGCGAAGGGGACGTTCTTTGGCAAGTGGGATCCTCCACGCTCCGTAACGAACCAAGTGGCTGACTAGAATATTCGATGCGCAGCCGGCCTCGCTGCAGGTGTCACAGAAGCCGTCGCCGTCGTCACTCCCATGGAGGTAATTAAGATCCGCCTGCAGGCGCAACACCATAGCATGGCCGATCCGCTCGACGTCCCCAAGTACCGCAATGCTGCGCACGCGTTATTCACAGTGGTCAAGGAGGAAGGTGTCGGCGCCCTCTACCGCGGTGTAAGCCTGACAGCCCTGCGTCAGGGCTCCAACCAGGCCGTCAACTTCACCGCGTACAGCTACTTCAAGGAGGCGCTCAAGAACTGGCAACCTCAGTACGAGGGCACCAACTTGCCGAGCTGGCAGACGACATGCATTGGCCTCGTTAGTGGTGCGATGGGCCCCCTGAGCAACGCGCCCATCGACACGATCAAGACAAGGTTGCAGAAGACGCCGGCCGAGTTTGGAACCAGTGCCTGGAGCCGTATCACGAAGATTGCGGCTGATATGTTCAAGTAAGTTCTCTGCCAGAAACTGTCGAAGCTGCCGTTGACTTTGTGTGACAGACAAGAAGGCTTCCACGCATTCTACAAGGGCATCACGCCGCGCATCATGCGTGTTGCCCCTGGCCAAGCTGTTACTTTCACCGTGTACGAATACATCAAGGAAAGACTTGAGAAGAGCAATCTCGCGTTCACCGGAGGCAAGTACGAGGAATAGATTATGAGGCAACGAGATTGCATTCGTTTTGATCCCACTGCGGTGTGGATAGATCTGGAGGGGCATTTGCGGCCTTGCGTCGATGGTATGCTGCGGGAGCAATGTCGAAGTTACCAAATCTAATTCGTTTTGATCATAGCTACAGTGCACCAGGAGCTGTCCTCCATGAACACGATGAAGTAAAAGGGGCCGGGAAGATTTTGATGGATTCCTTGCTGGGCGAAGCGTGAGTACAAACGCGGCACAATTGGAAGGACAATGGCACGAGGGGCATCGTAGCGAGAGAAGCATCGCCAGTAGAAATTTTGATCTGTTACGAGCAGAACGGCTGAACAGCCAATTACTTGGTTCTTTCGCGTTCTCACCGACCAGGCCGCTTAGGGCGGCTGAAGGCATGTCGGACCTCAACTCTGGGGTGTAGATCAGACAAAACCGACTCTTCCGTGATCTCACTGGGCTCCTCGACCTCGTACTTCTTGGCAAGCTCAAGTCCAGCCTCACTTGACGCTATGGCGAGAACTGCACGCTTCATCAGCGGATAGAGCATTCGGTCTTTGATGGCCTTGTGGCCAGGTCTGGCCGAGGAAGAGTTGACAGGGCACGTGTAAAAGAAGAGAACAGGACTTGTTTCAGTCCCATTGTGAGTATGAGTATAGCGGAAGATGCTGAAGCGGGGCTCGGTTGTCGAAATGGCTTGCGACAGCTCGGTGATCGAGGTCGGCGACTCGGTCGAAGGTACGAGCTCGACGCTCTCGGTGTCGGGATTCACTTTCTGTCAAGGCAAATTTCGGTTAGCTTTAGTTGTTAACTAGTCTATAGGTCGCATGACGACCATGGACGTACCAGCATAGTGAGGACGCGGCCATTGGGCTGTCCGACCTCTCGCATGGCGGCGATGGCGTCATCCGGCATAGGAAGCTTCATCTTTTGGCTGAGATGGATCTCTCGTGCCCCAGTGCCTCTGCCCGCTTCTTGTTCGGCGCGCTTCACCTCGCCCAAGCTCTGTTCTTCCTCGGTCAACGGCGCATCCATCTTGTTATGGGCATCGTGCTTGTCGAAACCGGAAGGCGTCAGCTCAGAAGCAGTGGTTGTGAAAATAGTCTCGCGGAAGTGCTCAGAGCCGAGCTCGCGGGTCAGCGTTAGCCTGGTAGACGCAAAAAGCATCTTCTGGCGGACCTTGGCAGCATCTGGAACGTAGGTGATGGCGATGAGGTGGGGGGCGGTCGCATGGCGGCGAAGGATGATGTAGAGAGCCTCAGTCTCCTTGAGATGGGGCTGTAGAGACGCAAGGTTATCGGAGAAGGAGGCCGTCGAGGAGACTGGCGACAGAAAGTCAATAGGTTTGAGGGCTTCTGCCTCAATGGTGGCAAGGAGGCCAAAGTACGACTCGGACGAGAGCAATGTGTTGAACTGGGAGACCAGCTCCTTCGAGGCTTGAAGGCAGTTAGCGACGTGTGAGCTCATGCAAACCAGGTAGCAACAGTCTTGCCTGATATTCCGGACTGCATCGTGACGAGTCTAGCGATGCCGGGTATGGGAACTGTGGTGTCGATGATCAGTCGTGCCCATTCGGATTTCCTGGTCTCGATAGCGGAGGGACAAGCAAGGCACGGACAGTGCCTCATCAGAGTGGGCGTCAGCAGCAGATGGCGGGGCAATGAGACCAGATGGTTGCCCCGCTGTTGCGTGGCCCGTGCACAAGGTACCTAGCTTACCTTACCTCGTCCAGAACCTCTGGCTGCCACATTGCTTGCTCTGCATGCTCTGATACATACCCTGCCTCTGCAAAGACGGTAATGCGTTCACACCTTGAAAGGCAAGAAGAGCTCTTTCTTAAAGACTTTGTTAATTGATAGTATAGCCACCGTCAACTACGAGCGCATGCCCTTGTACAAACGATGCCCGCGTCGAGCAGAGGAACAACACAGCGTCAGCAACTTCCTCCGGGGTTCCCATTCGCTGCATAGGGGCGATATCGATGGCAGGCTTCAGCCTGTGAACGACCTCTTCCGAGCCGATCGTCATGGGTGTTTCGATCACCCCTGGGCATACGCAATTGATCCTGATGCCGTCCTTGGAGTAGTCAATGGCATCCGATCTCGTCATGTTGATGACTGCAGCCTTTGACGCGCAATACGCAGCAGCAGCGGGCCGAGCCACAATGCCCAGCTGACTCGCAATGTTCACAATGGCGCCCCTCTGCCTCGGATACTCTGCGAGCATCTCTTGCTCTAACATAATGGAGAGAATGGCACGCGATGACAACCATGTTCCTCTGTAGTTGATGGTTGTAATGCGGTCAAAATCTGCCACGGGTGTTTCGTGAGATCGCAACGAGGCTCCCAGGACGCCCGCGCTCAAGACGGCATAATCGACACGCCCGAACGTCTGTGAAACGTGCTTGGCGAAGGACGACACAAAGGAATCATTCGAGATGTCACCCTCCATGCTACATATCTGCGCTTCCGGTCGAATTTCCCGTAAAGCACTGCGTGTCTTGGCGAGTGACTCGGCGTTGATGTCTGTGAGGGCCAGCCTGGTGCAGCCGGACTGCGCGAATCTTTTGGCCACAGCTGCGCCAATTCCTTATGCACATTATGTCCTGTTAGCAAGGTCGTGCCATGACCGTCGCAACATGACGTGCAATGATGCTGACAAACCTGTTCCTCCTGCTCCAGTGACCAGGGCCACGCCAGGAAATGTCAAGAGCATTGCCAGGTGCGTATTGGCGTGTACTAACCAGACTTTGACATACGGAGGCTCCCTCACGGAAAGAAAGATAGATGGAAGAGCATGGTAAAAGTTCACAGGTGTTGATACGATGCGGATGGCGGACCTTTTAGATGCATCTATCTGGATGAGACGCCAATATTTGACCAGATCAGGGTGGCATCGTCTCGGCTGGGTAGGTAGCTTCGGATCTACTGTACATGGGCACTTATCTTACCCCAACTCACCCCCGCAGCGCAGGCCGCCGGCAGTCGATAACCCCAGTCTCGAAGCACGCTTACGACTCATGGCACGCCTCTGATCAGCGCTGATGATGTTCTGGCGTAAACTCCACAGACAGCCGAGTTCGACCCCAAAAGGCAGAGCTGCCCTGAGACCCGCGCCGCATGTCCACTCCCCAAGATCTCTTCCACCTCCAACATCGCCACGGCGAACTTCACCTGCTCCAAACTGCTGGGGAGGCCCTCCTGTGGACTCCAGTGGAGATGCTGCCCCATACCCACGCGCAACAATATGAGAAGCCGCCGCAAAAAAAGCGCAGACGGCGGACTACATCCGTCCCTGGTGCACGCGCATGCCCGCATTGCGGCAGAACCTTCAAGCGCACCGAGCATCTCGAACGTCATATTCGCACTCGTAAGTGCCGAGTCCCTTCAAACCACCTAGGAGAACCGGGGTCTCAGCACGCTTGGGTCCGCTTCCTTGCCTCATATCCATGTGCTCACCAAACGTGCTGCACTCCAGACACCAAAGAGAAGCCTTTCATCTGCCATTGCGGAGCTGCGTTTACGCGTCGGGATCTCCTAACCCGCCATCAAAGAATCACATCTCACGAGGACACACACCCCGATGATAACCCAACTCCTCCAGCGTCCTGTTCTGTTCCATTGGTAGACCGCCAAGCTACCAACAACGCCGCCGTCACTACAACTGTGACAGCCGTGAAGCCTACGCAATGGTCAAACCCAACCCATCAACAACGGGCTCAAACTCCAACGGGGATGTATTCACTTGGTCATGGCCACAGCATGGTAGCACAATCATTTCAGCAGAACATTCTCCCGCCACATTTCTTTGACAGCAGTGCGATAGATGGTGTAAGTACGGGGTTCGATGCCCAGTTCCGTGAGTTCGCAAATTTCCTGGACGGAGTAGGGCTTCCAGCGGAATGGAGCCCCTACTTCCAAGCTCCGGAGAAAGGAGATGCCTTGGATCCTGCCTTGCGCAACAGAGATGATGCAAATTACACACAGAACCAGAGACCTGGTACACCGTTCAATGCTTGGCTTCCCTCAGCCCCTGCAAAGGATCGAATGCACTGCGACCTCACAGAATACAGTAAGGCCATGATTGAGTTTTGTACATGAGTGACGTTCACTTACGAATCGTAGGCCCCTGTTCCCATGAAGGTGATTCTCAACCCTTCAGGGTCACTGACGACCAGCGTTCCCGCCTCATTGCTGCGACAGAGGCTTTCCGCGGTGTTCTCGACCCTACTTTCAAGATCCCATCACGCCATGCATTGACGCGATATGTGACCTCCTTCTTTGAGGGGTTTCATTCCCATATGCCTTTCATCCATGTTGCAACATGGCGGCTATCGGACCATGCTTTGGAACTGATCCTCGGGATTGCGGCTTTGGGCAGTCAGTACTGCTTCGAACGTCGCAATTCTGAGTCGCTATTCCATGCTGGTCAAGCAATCCTCATAGAGAGGATACGGCGCGAGGCTGGCAAATTTGGTGCCAACAGCCGCTCCTACCTGGGTCTCCATGACCCCTCGCCATTCAAAGGCGCCACGCGACCCGAGCACGTCGCACGAGACCCTATCAATGAGTGGACAACCTGGGAACCCATTGAGACGGTACGCGCTCTCGTTCTTCTCATGGGCTATGGTACTTGGGAACCCAAGGTCGCCCTTCTCCAAGAGGCATTCACCTTGCAAGGGCTCCTTGCTCAGGTTCTTCGTGATCTCGGCCTCAACGAGGAAACCCATTCGTCTTTGACAGACGGCACCAACGGATCCCAAGCAGTTTGGGAGGCTTGGGTACGGCAGGAATCCGTTCGACGCACCAAGCTGATCGCGTTCTCTTTTCTTCACATACATAGCATTGCCTACAACGTGTATCCTGTTCTGCGGAGCAACGAAATCAACCTCAGGCTGCCATGCTCGACCAAGGAATGGAAGGCGCCCAATGCCACACAGTGGCAGGCTGCTCACAGCGAGATATCTAAGCAGCAGCTGTTCTTCCAGCATGCGTTGTCCCTGCTGCTGAAGAAGGCCGACGACGGCATGGGGATTTTGGATCCGATTCCAACACCACTCGGAAATTACGTGCTCCTTCACGGTCTTCTGCAGCGCATATATATTGTCAGAGACTTGTCTCTTCCCGTCATGGATCACTCGGCTCAGCTGCCGGCGGAAGAAGTCGATAAGCTTGAGTGAGTACCCGCTTGACATTTGCACCAAGTAAGTTGCAGTATTGACTGATTGAACAGGAGTGGACTCCGTTCGTGGACGTCCGGTTGGCAGCAGGCTCCAGAGTCAACGCTGGATCCCAACAATGAGAACGGACCTATACCGTTCACCTCTAGCTCCCTGCTCGGATTGGCATACGTTCGAATTCACCTACACCTAGGGCCATACCGCCTACTCGAGACTCGTGATCCCAGGCGCATCGCGCGGGCCCTTGCTCAGTCCCAGGCCGTGGAGCGTAGTGATGGAGTTGTTACGGCTCTGTTGTATTCTACACATATGCTAAGCATCCCAGTCCGCCTCGGCGTAGATCGTGTCGCACGCAGTCAGGCCTTTTTTTGGAGTGTCAGGCATTCGCTCTCAGGCTTAGAATGTGCAGTCCTACTGAGCAAGTGGTTGTTCTCGTTGACCGAGACACTAACCGCGACCCCTTTGACAGGTAGAGTGTACGGCTTCTTACCATAAGTGTCTCGCTGACATCATGCAGACAGCGAGGATCGCATTCTTCATTGGGTTTGGTGCATCGTCGACGAAGCATGCATGTCAGTCGACTTTGTGGCTGAGGAGTACAACGGGGCCATCGAACGAGAACCACGCAGCCTGGGACTGGCCGTCCTCATGATATGGGCGCACTTTTTCAAAAGCAACACTCAATGGCCTTTTATAAATGTAATGGGTCAGGCTCTTCAGGAGTATCGTAAGCTCGTATCAGGATGATAAGGTGATTACCACGCGGTAAGCGCAAAGGCAACCAAATTCATACACTTCGTGCCTACCTTGATATCCTAACTACAAGTCTGCCTCGGAAATCAGCATCTTTGTATGCATCGACGATGCCTGGAATATCGTCAAAAGATGCCATAGCTAAATGAGACTCGATGCCGTGTTGGCTAACGACCTCCATCATTCTTTCCGTGGCGACTGTGCTTGCGACATACGTCCCTCTCAGCGCCAACTGCTTGAAGACAATCAAGTCAGCCTCAAACCTCCACTGCTCGGCGGGAAGGCCCAGAATCCCCAGGGAGCCACCAATGCGAAGTATTTTGAGGGCCCAGGCATTAGCGATCAATGAGTCTGTACAGACAATAGCTGCCGCAACACCCTGGCCTTCTGTGAACTCAAAGATCCGCCTGTTGGCGTCGGGACTACCCGAGTCTATTACAAGGTCAGGACGCAAAGATGGGTTCGATGTTTCGTTGGCCAATCGCCTCCCCGCTGGGCGGCTGTCTATAGCAATAGTTCGGAAACCGAGGCCCTTGGCGAACTGGATACCTAAATGCCCAAGGCCACCGATGCCTACGATAGCCACAACATTGCCTTGTTCCAGGCCTTGGGTTGCTCTTTCGAGCGAGCCCCAGACAGTGGCACCCGCGCACATTAGTGGTGCCGCCTGCTCGAAAGAAAGACTGTCGGGGAGTAACACGGTTGTTTCTGGGTCGGCGACCATGTATTCCGCAAACGCTCCGTCGTTTTGGAATCCTGCAGTCTCTCGGTTGTCGCAATACCGCGGATCCAAGTGATTCAGTGCTTGCTTCGCCGTCTTGCAACCAGCGCATTGGTCGCAGGCATTTTTGAAGTTGAGCACACCGACCCTCTGACCAAGCTTCCAACGAGGATGGCATCGATGTCCAATTTGAACAATGCATCCGGCCGGCTCGTGAGATGGGATGAGACCAAGAGGTGACTTGAACTGTCCGTTCAACACTTGGAGGTCAGAGTGGCAGAAACCAGCTGCTTTGACCTGAACCAAGAGTTCGTGATCCCGTATAATTGGAGTTGGTCTCTCAGTAAGCTGATATGGTTTCCCATACTAGTGTTCCTTAGTCACTCTCCTTGTATACATCTGTGGGGATGGCGATACCAACCTCTACAATTTGTGCAGCTCTCATGATGCGGGGGTGTTGGACTTCAGCCATTGGGAGAATGGAAGCGGATGTAGGTAAACTAGACTGACGAGACCTCTGGCTGGGAAATAATGTCACGCTTCTATAAAGCTACCCGGAGAAGATGCGCCGCCACCACTTCACCGAAGCTGATGAAGAGATCACGGCAATGGCGGCTCAAAGTTTTGGCCTGAATGCACGTCAGGTCAACCCTGTTTTCAGTACCCCGCTCATGTTGGAGTTGATCTCCACACAGACTCCAACAAGTTGGGGTCAGGATGCCCAATGGTCATATTTGGAGGCGAACAACATTGGGGCCTAGTTTGGAGACCTGTCATGATATGCGGCGTCGACGACCATGATTTGTCGTACGTCTCATATGATGAAATGAAACGGCGGTGTCGTGTCGATTTTTATGACTTAAATCACGACTGACGTGAGCTTCAAGAAATATTTCAGGTTCAGATCTCAACACGTGAACCAAAGGACTACTGTGTCTCGTTGAAAAGCAGTAAATCGCAACGGTACTCTACATCATTAGACGCACACACGACGGTTACGTGACTGGCACCATAGAGGAAGACTCTACAGCCACAACTCCTCACGATCATCATGTCGGTCTTTTTCAAGGATATCGCATCGTAAGACTGAAGCCCCGGAATATCGATCGCGAACACTGACATGGAACTCAGCGACAACCCTGTTCGCGAAGGCGATGTGGAAAAGGTCCTTGCACCACTGGGCCTAACTATCAAGGACGAAGAATCTTCAGAGTACGAGCGACTTCTTGCTGCCGTACACGACTGTGCGGAGAGAGTTTTGAGCCTTCCGGATTATCAGCCTGCCCCGGACCTCTTACGATATCCTCGCCAGAATGTGCGCCTCGCTGTTGAGGTTGATCAGAAGTTTGGCCACGCCTGGGCTCATCGATTCCTGATCAAAGGCAGTACTTTAGGAGGCTCAATGAAAGGAAAAAGTGTCTGCCTGAAAGACTGTATCGCAGTCGCCGGAGTCCCTCAGTTCTTTGGGAGCGATGCTTTCCCAGCCTGGACTCCATCCACAGACGCCACCATCGTCACCCGCGTCCTTGATGAGGGTGCCGACATTCTAGGAACTGCAACATGCGAACACTTTTGCAATTCCACATCATCTTTCACGAGCGCTCAAGGAACAGTTGAAAATCCCCACGCAATAGGCTACTCGGCGGGAGGGAGCACCTCCGGCGGTGCAGCCTTGGTAGCCTCTGCGACTGTTGACATCGCGTTGGGTACGGATCAAGGCGGGAGTATACGAGTGCCGGCTTCTCTCTGCGGCTGTGTTGGACTCAAGCCAACACATGGTCTCGTCCCATATACCGGTATCACATCCGGAGATCCCATAGACGACCACGCAGGTCCATTGGCAAGATGTGTTGCAGATGTCGCTTTATGTCTTGACGCCATTGCCGGCTATGACAACATTGACGGAAAGTCGGTGGGAGCTGGGCCACATGGGACTTTCAAGTTTTCCAGGACACTAAGCGGCTCGAAGAGACTCGACGGCGTCAAAGTCGCTGTACTGAAAGAGGGAATCGATCATGCTTTGGTTCAAAGCAATGTAAGATCTTGCGTCCTTGCCGCAACAAGGGGACTAGAGCAGCTTGGTGCTGTGGTCGATACTGTTTCCATACCTTGCCATGTGGAAGGACCATCGATATGGACCATAAAACAGCGTCTGTCTGGTGCCATGGGTATTCTCGGTCGAGGCTATGGTCAACGAGGTCTTCATCTGACGGAGTTTGAGAAGGCAAGACTTCCATGGGTCGACTCAAACTTTCAGAAACTGTTTCCTTCAACCAAGAACACCGTCATCAATGGGCTTTACCTCATGGACAAGTTTCCAGGCCTGTACAGCAAGACCGTCAACATTGGGAGGCAACTGAGAGATGCGTATGATCGCGTTTTTCAATCATACGATGTCATAGTCATGCCTACTACCCCTTTTGTCGCTCCTCGCCATGGGCCTCGAGACTCAGTCTTGGGTTCGTTCGAACCGAGTATTGGACTCACCTCAAACACAGCCATTTTCAATGTCACTGGACATCCTGCCATGTCACTTCCAGTGGGGCTCGCAGGAGCTGCAGATGATCAGAATACGATGCTTCCCGTCGGCATGCAGATCGTCGGAGGTATGTGGCGAGAGAGCAGCATCCTCAGGGTAGGACAGGCGTGGGAGTCGGCGTTTGAGTGGAAAGAGTATCAAGCACAAGACATGCAAGCACCGTAATGGCTCGAATGTATGTCACAGCCCCTGGACATCAATACGTCGCGTGCTTCCACCATGGCCGAAGCCTCAGCCAAGCTTGTTGATATCGCTGCGTCGTAGGGCCCCCGTCGCTTATTTGGCATGGTAGGTGCGGTCTTATCTTGCCAAATTGCACTACGTTCCTGTATCTTGACTAAACATGATAAGTCAAACATCGTCGAAGCAGCATCGACACTGTCTTTACCCCAACGGTACTGGCCCGCAGTTGGAGGCAACGGCCTCCTGAACAGCTACCCCGCGATAAGGGGCTTAGCCTCCAACGTCGCCATGACGTACTCCGGTGCGAATCCAGTTGTGGCGCCCGCAGATCAGGGAGGATCGATGCGGAGGGTACTCGGCAGATAAATGTCACTGTAACCGCACATGCCCCCGCATCTTCCAGAATTATCTACTCCTTCTCATACGCTACCATGGGCAAGAAACGTGTCTTGGTCAGCTATGGTGTCGATGTCGATGCCGTTGCCGGGTGGCTGGGCTCGTACGGCGGAGAAGATTCACCGAACGATATTAGCAGAGGTGAGGTTCGCGTCTACCCAATACGGACTCCATACTCACACAAGAATAGGTCTCTTTGCCGGCACTGTCGGAACCAGGAGGGTTCTGAAACTTTTCACCAAGTACAACATTAAAAGCACTTGGTTCATCCCGGGCCACAGCCTTGAGACGTTTCCCGAAGAAATGGCTGCCGTTCGTGATGCTGGCCATGAGATTGGTCTGCATGGGTACTCTCATGAGAACCCCACCGACATGACTATAGAACAGCAGAAGGAGGTCCTCGATAAGACGTACCGAATGTTGACCGAGTTTGCTGGTAAACCTCCTCGAGGGTCCGTCGCACCTTGGTGGGAGACCTCGAAGGAAGGCTGCCAGCTGTTGGCCGATTACGGGATTGAGTACGACCACAGCATGAGTCACCACGATTATCAGGCCTACTACCTTCGCACCGGAGATACTTGGACAAAGATCGACTACAAAAAGAAAGCCAGCGAGTGGATGAAACCTCTTGTACAAGGGCAAAACACTGGCATTGTTGAAATACCGGCAAACTGGTATCTCGACGACCTCCCACCAATGATGTTCATCAAAGACGCGCCAAACAGTCATGGTTTTGTGAACGCACGCGACGTTGAAGATATTTGGCGAGATCACTTTGATTACTTCTATCGGGAGTATGACGAGTTCATATTTCCCATAACCATACACCCTGATGTTTCGGGCCGCCCTCACGTCTTATTGATGCATGAGAGGCTCATCGAGTACATGAAGAGTCACGAAGGAGTGGAGTTTGTCACAATGGAGCAAATTTGCGATGATTTCAAGAGCAGAAACGCGGTTCCAGAGGGGTCAATTTTGCCTGCCACACCAGGAGCCATCATGAAAGAGTCTACAACGCTATAAGAGGATAGCTATCAATGCAGAGAGTTGAGACAATTGTATATCTTGCCTATCATCAATGTTCAGGCTCTGTTGAAGTCTCCTGCCATATTGAGAATCAATCAATCTCGATAGTCCGCTTGAGAATTCCACCAAGTAATTTCTCAATATCACGTCTCATTCATCATTTCCGGTGGTGCCCAAATGGTATGTTGTGATAAGGATCACCCGCTGGCCAAGAGTTAGTCCCGCGCCTGGTATTAGAGACTCACGTCTTCATGATTGACGAATACTTGTCACGAGCGCTTCCTCAGGCTCCAGATGTCGCTCAAACGAGTAAGATCGACCCCGCTTCCACATATGCGACTGACTGTTTCTGTGGCTATCAGAGTTGGGGTTTAGTGTCATGGCTGGAGCAACGTGAAACCAACCAGAGATGCTAGATTGCCCCAAGATGTCAAGATGACTCCAACCTTATCATCACGCTCCTTACGTGAACGACAATCACTCCACTTCGGTTCCCACTCAGCGGCACTTGCAGATGTAACCCAAGTCCGGGGAACGTTCTGCTGACGTTGGTCATGATTTGGGCCTGCGTACATGTCCTGAAAGCAGCCCAGACCAATCTCCTCTTCGGAGATAAGCCTGCTTCTCCCTCGTGTAGTAATGCACACGGTAGGTAACGCTTTCTATATAATAGAGGCGTGTATTCGTCTTACTGGCAGACACTTGTCGATCCTTCTTCAACCACAAAGATCCAGACGCATTTTATCGCACACGAAAGCCACTACAAACTGGGACCCAGCATGTCCAATAGCGATTCAGAAAAGGGCATTGATACCATTGCTCCAGTACGGACAAGCGGTAGCATCGAAGTCACCAAAGCAGACAACACCAATGAATCCTTTGAAGTTTTCAAAAAGGGCGAGGGCACAGTCGACTTCCGTACTGTAGGTTGGATTCATGCTTCGGTCATTTTCCTTAAAGGTGCGTCTCTCCTGTGCCGATGGCATTCAGCTCCTAATAAGCATTTAGTGATCTTCGCCACTGGGGTACTCAGTATACCTTCCGCCATGTTCGTTCTCGGGGCCCTACCCGGCGCCATCAACGTTCTGGGCTGGCAGTTTTTGAATACCTACTGTGCTATTATCCAGGGAAACTTCCGCAACACGCATGCTGGCTGCCATTCAATCGCCGACATGGCCTACGTTGTCGGCGGTGTTTGGCTGAGGGAAATTGTCGGCGTGCTTTTCCTCGTCACGTACGCAATTGTTGCGGCCAGTGGCATATTCGGATCCTCTGTCGGCCTCAATGCACTATCAAGCCACGCTATCTGCACGAATTGGTTTATGCTTGTCGCAACGATTGCTGTTTTTGGTCTTGCAAGCGTACGAAAATTTGAAAAGATTGCATGGCTTACGTGGGCTGGGTTTCTCTCGGTCTACATTGCTGTCTTCATTGTCGTGTGAGTTTGATGCGAGACTTTTACCTGCGAAATCCCGGCTGACAGCCCAACAGCGTCGGTGTCACTACCCGCGATCGTCCTGCAGCTGCTCCACGGACTGGAGATTTCGAATTGGGCTATCACGTTATCGGAAATCCGACATTCGTCACAGGCATCACGTCGGTGGCCACGATCTTTTGCTCTGGGGCCGGAACCTCAGCGTTTCTGCCCGTCATCTCAGAGATGCGAAAGCCCCGGGACTACAACAAGGCCGTTTACCTTTGCATGGGAATCGTCACAGCCTCCTACCTGACCTTCTCTTTGGTCGTCTATCGTTATTGTGGCCAATGGGTGGCCTCGCCTTCTCTCGGCAGTGCTGGCTACGTTGTCAAGAAAGTAGCTTACGGAATCGGCCTGATTGGTCTCCTCGTCAGCGCCTGTCTGTACGTCCATGTCGCGGCCAAGTACATGTTCGTTCGTATCCTGCGCAACTCGGAGCATCTGCAGAAGAACTCAGCTGTCCATTGGTCGGTTTGGTTTGGATGCACAGGCAGCATGTGTCTTGTATCTTTCCTTCTCGCGTCTGGCATCCCTATTTTCAATTATCTTCTCGCGCTCGCGGGCAGTCTGACCTTCTCGCCACTGGCACTCGGGCTGCCGGGGTATCTTTGGGTGCATGATCACCAACACTACCGCCAGGGCCGCTGGTGGCAGGCTCTTGTCTACTATTTGAACTGCCTCATGATTGCCCTGGCAGCTTTTCTGACGATTGGCGGCACATATGGCGTGGTACAGAACATTATTGACGCCTATGCCAGCGGAGAAATTGGAGGGGCCTTTTCTTGTGCAGACAACAGCGACTCTTCCTGAATTGCCGGATAGCTGAATTGTAGCCGCATGTCTTCGTTGGAATATCGCATTGCTGCTTGCATGCCATCATTAAACCCCGAGCAGTCTCGGTCTTCGCGTACGCTCTTTTCCTTGGGCGTTAATTTCTCAACGTCCTGAAGCATTGCAGCTGGGCATTCCGCAAGCGCTAGACTCTGTACGTGGCCAGGCAAGCCAGGAAAAGCGCGACGCCGAAGGATCTCCGACGTTACTGAAAACGGAGCCAATGCCCACGCGCGAGCCCGGTCGCTGTGGGTCAAATGTCCCCCGCCGAACATGCTTTCAGCCACGGAGGTTAAGTAAGCCCTGACATTTTCATCCACCAACGACACTGACTCACCTTCATCTTCACAACGACACCAACAGCCACGACACTTCCTTTGCACGGCTTCGACATCGCCTTTCAACATGGCTAACGATCACATCCTGACCCTGTCCTGCCCGGACAAGCCTGGCATCGTCCACGCGGTGACGGGCATCTTTGCCGAACAGAACCTCAACATTCTGGATCTCCAGCAGTTTTCCGACCCGGTTTCTGAGAAGTTCTTCATGCGTGTTCATTTTGGTCCCACTCAGTCGGAGTCGACGGCGCATTTGGATGAGCCTTTTGGCGCACTTGCTGCCGATCTCAAGATGGAGTACGATATTCGACCCGTCGCAAAGAAATTGCGTGTTTTGATCATGGTGTCCAAGATCGGCCACTGCCTCAACGACCTACTCTTCCGTACCAAGGCTGGCCAGCTGAACATTGAGGTGCCCCTTATTGTTTCGAATCACCCGGAGTTCCAGCAACTGGCTGGCAACTACGGCATTGACTTCAAGCATCTGCCCGTAACCAAGGACACCAAGGCCGAGCAGGAGCAGAAGATCCTGGACCTCATCAAGGAGCACGACATTGAGCTTGTCGTCCTCGCCCGTTACATGCAGGTTCTCTCACCGAGACTGTGCGAAGCTATGTCCGGACGCATCATCAACATCCACCACAGCTTCTTGCCATCCTTCAAGGGCGCCAAACCATACCACCAGGCCTATGAGCGCGGAGTCAAGATCATCGGTGCCACTGCTCATTTCGTCACGGCTGACCTTGATGAAGGCCCCATCATCGAGCAGCGTGTCTCTAGGGTCGACCATAGCCTGAACCCAAAGGAGCTGGTTGAGGAGGGAGCCAATGTCGAGAGCCAGGTCTTGGCCGCTGCGGTCAAGTGGACGGCCGAGGGACGCGTTTTTCTCAACAAAACCAAGACAGTAGTCTTCAATTAATTCATGCGCCGCGCGCGATCAATTCGGTTACAAAACCGTACCCTCGACATTTACGAGCCTCACTGTTGTTCGGGATCCAGTTAATGCCGCTGCAGTGACTACTCCATCGTCGTTCCAGGTAAAATCAACAGCGCCACCTCCTCGAAGTCGAAGTCCTTTGACACTACCACCGGCCCAGGATGCGGGGATTGCAGGCCCAAGGACCACTGTTCTGATCTCTTGAGAGGGAGCATCGTGCGCCAGGGGTAGGTCGACTACCAGCATACTCAGTATCGCTCCGGCGAGCCCGAAATTGGCGTCAATTTGAAACGGTTCGTTGCGCGCCGAGTACATGCTGAAGCCATTGTCGGCAAAGTTGACATCGATCGCGTAGCGGAGGTGATAATGCGCCATGTCAGTGTTGTTCAAACGCGCCCAGCAAGCAGATCGCCAGATCTTGCCCCATGCAGCGTTCGCGTCAGGCCCGTTACCATTGCCACGAGACTCCAGCGTCTTCCTGACGCCTGACTGAATCGTACCATTCGTATAGCCGCCTAGATAAGACGAAACCGAATATCCTGGATGCCAACCCGTCAAATGAGAAAGATGGCGATGCGTAGTCTTTTCTTCAAAGCCGAAAGAATCTGGAAGCTTCCATTCCTTGATGCCGCCCCAGTGGGTCAAATGAAGGCCTTTGTCCAGCTTTTTGAGGCTAAACTTGACATCTTCAAGAAAACCAGCATCGTCTTCCTGAACGTATTCAGCGCCAGACAAGACTGTATCAAACACGCGATGGATCTCTTGCTGATAGTGGGCGCACCCAAAAGTTGTTGGTCCATGCTCCGGGCTATTGCACGGATTGACGACCAGTGTTCCATCGTTGCTGAAATCATCTTCGATCAGCTGAGAGAGCCAAAACTCCGCAACTCCCTTGATCAGAGGATATCCCTGATCCCTGAACCAGCCGACATCTTGTGTGTAATCAAAATTATCCCAAACGTGCTGCATCATCCATGCGGGAGCGGCCGGATCTGTCGACTGATTAGCAAGTTGCAGCTTCAGACAGAACTGAGGGCACCTCACAGAATGCCCAACTGGCAGCATTTTTCATGGCTGTGTGTCCGAAAATATTCATCTCGTTATGCACAACCCAACCACTAGCGTTGTAAAGAAGCTGTGCCGTCTCAGACCCACGAGGTACCCAAGTTTTCTCCATGTAGTTCCAAAGCGCATCTTGGGTCCGACTGAGCCCTGTCTGGTCAGCAGCCCAGTAGTTCATTTGGAGGTTGATGTTGGCATGGTAATCACCACTCCAAGCTGGCCAAAGTTCTTCCGTCCACCGCCCAGCCAGGTTGGCCGGAAGGGAATCCTCTCGTGATGATGTGATGAGAAGATGTCGAGCGTAGTCGAACAAGAGAGCTTCCAAAAAGGGATCTCCTGGGCCGTCCGAATCATACTCTTGAATGAGTGCAGCGGTCTCTTTTTGCGCCGAGTTATTCGGATCGGGGAGATCAAAAGTAAAACTACCTTGAAGAGTCTGGTAGTCTTCAAGGTGACCTTCGAGAAGTCTCCGGCGACCTTGTTTTGCAGCGTCGTTGGTTACTTGTTCGACATATTCGTGAGGATCCACGCCACGGAAACTGTAGCCACTTTCTGTATTGCCTTTGGACTGATCAAAGTTCGTCTCTGCCCCAATGACAATTGTGAGTGTTTTCTGACCAACTGGTACAGTAACAGACAACGAGCCGTCATCGGAGCATTCCGTGGCTGGTATTGTACAGCCTGGTCTTCCTGTGATACGAGCTATTGACTCGTACTTCATACCCAGGGGGGGTCCAAGTTGGGTCACGCCGACCCCTTTAACGTACTGGTCCCCACAGGTGACGTTAAATAGATTTGCCTCAACGAGGACGTTTTCAAAGCCAAACTTCACCTTGGGAAGTGTCTCGCCCGTCGTTGATATACTGTAGACACATACCTTCGCTGGAAAGCTGCAGTAGACGACAGTAGTAAAGGTAGCTCCACCTGAGTCAAATTCAGTAGTATGTATACCTGTGGTCAAGTCGAGCGTCCGGCGATAGTCAGAAAAGTCGCCTATTTCTTCGACAGCAACACTGAAGTTCCCCAGGGTTCGGTATGCACCAAAATGGTCGCCTTCGCCCAGGAGAGGATCGACGTCTATGCAGCTTCTCCATTACACATGATTCAACCTAATTCGAGATATTAATGACTCACGTCCAGTACCATTTGCGAAGATGTTCGCTCGCAAACTCGGTAGTGCTTCGTATTTGGGAGATGTTGGGTTGCCGCCTGAGTAGCTCTGTGCCATCATGTCAGATTTTCCAAGCAAAGGTGACCAGGGGACAGCTACCTCGGATTCGAATGGCCCACCAGACCATAGAGAATCAACATTGATGATTACTTTCTCTAAACCAGGGGGGCCATGAGGCATTGCTAACCAGCTGTTAGACAGTAGAGTTTCGGAATTACTTTACCCATCCTCACCTCCAAGTTTCCCATTACCAACAGGATAGGCCTTCTTGAGGAGGTATATATCACTACTTCGAGTGCCGTGGGTAGCTGGAACTGTGGACGAAAGTGAGCGCCCCGTTACCAAGGCAATATTAGCGAAGAGCAGAACTGTCTGGGCACCAATTGAGGGTAACATTTCGAATCTGAGACGCTGTTCAACACAGGTTTTAGCCTCGCGGATGAAGATTATTTCCCCCTGACTTTGAAAAAGCCGAAGAAACGAGGTAGATGGCAAAGACGAATGATTTATACTTCTCAGCGAAGTCATGGCCGGCAATTCGTCCTAAAAGTGCATTTAATTTGACTTCAGTCGTTTCGACGGCCCGTTGGCCGGCCCATTAATCGGATCGAAAGGATAGATGGATAAATGCTGAGACTGCATATGCTCATGCACGATCCTTGAAGGTCTCAACGAGCATAGCTTGGTCATCACGCGATGGACGACCCTGCCAATAGCCACTCCTCACTAGGCTAAGCCTGCAACATGGGGCAAGTGATAACAGTATCATGACGAGGACCCAGAATCATTGTTACGGAGTACATGATACTTTGCTGCCTATAACGCAGGAGTATTTCTGATAGCGCGCCTGATGCGGTGAATGTGACACTCCGTGTGAGATGATCAAGCCCCTTTGGCCAAAACTTCCGTCACCCCGCACTTTACGCTACCATGCGATCAACTGAGTCCGTGAAATCCTGGTTAAGTGAGGGGTGGCGGGGTCGCAATGCCAGGGGTCTGTTGCCGACCCGACGGGTAACAAGTCGGGGACCGTTCACTTTGAGCAGCCGACGGCTGATCACATACTTCGCACGGTATATGATGAGCTCTCTCGGATGGTTAGAGGAACCTGAATCACTCTGCTAACAAAACATTGGGCATTGGCTTTACGTCAAGAGAATGGTACTGGTACACTCTTAACTTGTGAGAACTGGAAGTCACGGGGATAGGAACCCTGACAAGGAGATGGTCTACGTATAGTCCTACACGCGAGACTTCGTGCCCATATATTTCGACATGCAGCCTAAGAAAACTGATAGTAAAGGACCTGAAGGAAAGCGCTAGGGGAAATGTGAACATCATAGAAAAGTAATTCTATTCGAAGATATGGAGCCATAATCAGAGGTCGCATGAGGAACAATTGCAGCGCTACCTTGATGAGGATGTACCATGCGAACACCCCTCATGGCGCAAAGCTGATTACCTGTCCATTTCATCGATGCCTTGCTGAATCTTGCAGTTTGTCCAGAGATGCGTCCAAGTCTCCCTTCTCTAACAAGTTTGCTGCGGAAACGACCCTCTGCTTGATATCTGAGTTCCGCCCCAACGCCTCAGAATGCTGGAGACACCAGTGAAATAGTTTGCCTAGTACCTGTGCATCTCCCTGGTAGTCTGGAGCAACGTTGCCCATGTCCACTAACAAAAGCTTACCACCTTCAGGATGAGTAGTCTCTTCTGCCATTTCCTGTGACTGTATGGTGACGTTCCAGTCGCATATGTCTCCGTGCATGATCCCAATTTGATTGAGCTCTCTCACCCCATGTGCTAAGTCAAAGAGCTGCGATTCGGTAATGATGATATCTCCCTGCTTTGCAAGAGAGTCCAAACTGCGCCCTGCGAACGGCATGAGAATGCCAGCCACTGACCCCTCTTCCCAAGGCCCTGGTGATGCGTCTTGTATGACCACAGCGTGGATAGGGACGACGTTGAACGTCTTCTCCATCTCTCCAAATATGTTCTTGCCATCGACTTGACTATCCAAGTGGGCTAACAGTTTCTCTCGAGTGCGGATAGCCCTCTCAAAAGCCTTGATATCGTTGCTGAATTCGATCCGTTTGAATACAGCTTTGCGGCCGTTCCACTGACAGACATCTGCACCTTTGCTTAGATATCTTTTGTCATGGATGTCGCTATAGTGAACGGTAGGAAAACGGTCCTCAGGATCAGAGCCGTAATGAAGGATTTCAGTGATGGGTAGTGCAATGTTTTGCTCTTCCTGTGTATGGTAGGCGACAGGGCTACCTTTCAGCGTTGTTCGAATTGTATTCCAGCGAGGTTGCCGTCGGTGGCCGCGATGGTACGCCCTGACATGCTTTTGGACAATGGATGACAACCATGCGTCGTCACTGACTGGTACATCAACATCTAGTTGATACCATCGCCTATTGGCGACATCGTATGCCCGGACAGAGCACGGAGCCTTGGGCGAAGCAAAGTTGTCGTAGATCTCGATAACTGGATCGTGCCACTGTCGGCTTCTTTCGAGGACATGATGCGGTTTTCGTTTGAAATGACTTTTAATCTTTTCCATGGCCCAGATTGCTCAGATGCTGGAGTGAAGACTGAAGGAATGTGGAATGACGGAAGAGTGCGGGGTTTGAGAAAACGGTTCAGGGTTGGGCAACTTGGCGTACGAACCAAGAAGTACCCCTTGGCAAGGAGCGCCGAGAACAACAAATGGCCTGATACATGGGAAAACACGCATTAATCGTTTCCCCGAGCTCCCAATGGGGGTTTATTGCATGTAGAGACAAGTTCAAGTCATTCTGTGCTAGATCACGGCTAAAAGTCTCCCAAGATGCAAACAACGATGAACTCGCGGCAGCGTGCAAGTTTACGGTAGTGGTGAAACTTCCAGTCCGCTCTGCTCCAGAAATACCTCTAGAAGCTCAAAATCACCAGTTCGAGGACATCGATACATGAGTTCATTGTGGGTGCAAGCATGAATCTAATTTTGGGGATCACGAAGAGTGAATCATCTCAAGGGACTACCATTGGTGTGTATGCTCATAGGCGAACTTCCTCCCTGGTTTCCACGTAGTCTGTCTCGTCTCCCGGTTTTTCATGATCGAATTCTTGGGGCATCGCAATCGGGCGATTTCTTGCGAAGCGGACGGTTCCGAGGACAGAAGGAGATTCTCTGAACATCATGTCGATCTCTTCCAAGTTTCGCCCCATGGTCTCAGGGAACAGGAAGTAAACCGAAACTGGAATACAAGCGGCTATGACGGCATAGACGATGTAATACTGGTACCCGATACTCCTGATGGCCACAGGTGTAACCATGACAACAACAAAGTTCCTGCCACCGTCAGCTTAACTCTCCAGGAACATCGAAGTACACATACCATAGCCAGTGGTTAGCTGTGGACAGAGATGACATAGCCATCCGCAACTTGATCGGCGCAATCTCAGTAGCATAGAGAAAGTTGGCGCCCAAGAACCCAATGGGAACAAACGTATTGTACAGGTAGATGAAGCACCCGGCAGCTATCTGGGCTGCTTTGTTTTCCTTTGGGAATGAAGTGCTGATGGCAAGGGCGACCATGCATGAGGACATCCCAACACCGCTGATGATGAACACAGCTCGGCGGCCAAAACGGTCAATACAGACGAAACCAAGGAAAGACGATAGGAATTTCCAAGTCAAAGCTCCGGCGGTTAGAACACGTGCCATCTCCGTGCCCATCCCTAGGTTCTCTTGGAACAAGATTGTTGCGTAGACTGAGATGAGATTTGAGCCCCTGGAATGATCAATACGAGAAATATCTGCTGTCATGATGCTGAAAAAGCACTTACGACATCTGCTGGTAGAATTGGACCATCATGCAAAGCCCGAAGCGGTACAAGAGCTTATCTTCGCCCATTTTTCAGCATATCGCTCATCTTAACGCCGCCCTTGCTCGTTTCTTTCCAAGAGTGTTCGATGCCAGTGACCTCTGCATGAACCTCCATCGAGTCGACAGGAAAGCCTCTGAGAGCGGCGACGACCTTTCGGGCGGCTTGGTTGCGGTTTTCAACACAAGCCAGCGCGGCGATTCTGGAAGGAAGTAAATAGAGAAGAGGAGCACGAGCGAAAATGCAATACCAATTGCAATCGATGGTCGCCATGTAATGGGGCCAGACTTGAACTCCCAGAAGCCAAGGTTGATCCAGCTTTCGAGGACATAACCGACGCAGATGAAGAGGCCGTCTAAGACAACATGCCGTCCACGATTCTTTGCACCACTTGTCTCACTCTGCCACACCGGGACGATGGAGCTAAGCTGACCAATGCCGAGTCCGACGATGATACGGCCGACGATGAGCTGTGCCAAGCTATGGGCAGAACATTCGAGAGCTTCGCCGATGAGCGTACAAATACCGGCAGCGAAGATAACGTTTCGTCGCCCGAATTTGTCGCCCGTCCATGAGCAGGAAAGAGCGCCGCAAAGAGCTCCAATGGTGAATGTTGCGACCACGAAGCCTTGGAGTGTCGACTTTTGCTTCTTCTCACTGCCGGTTGTGTGAACGGTGTCAATCTCGGGAAACGTCTTCGTCCAGTCTTGGGTTGTCAAAAGTCCGCCTAATCCGGCTTGATTGTAACCGAAGAGGATGAATGCTGGACAGACAATCAAGGCGATTTGAAGGACGCTCAAGGCTTGTCCGGTGAGTCCAAAGTAGCTCATTTTCGCGGCTTGGGTGATGTAGAGGTTGAGATGCCAGTGAAGATGAACTCTCGAACAGCACGGGACCACAGCTTTATACGAACCTACACCATTACGCCCCCTCACTGATGCGGGGAGTAATGCTGAGCCCCAGTTGTCGCCATGGTAGGTTAATGGGGAAGGGCATGGAGAGGACACGATGGTGAACGTGAGCATGCGGAACGAAAGCCGTGAACTGTCCGTAGTGAGGCATCCCATGCATGGGTCTTGACGGAGACAAAGAGCCGCAGAGTGATCAGGAACACCGTGGTCTGTTGTCTATTATGGGTTCAAGACGCGACATTATCGTCGTTCATTCCCTAGCTCGACATTAGAGTGGCGAATACCAAGCTTTTGTCCCGTAGCACTGCCGTAGGCGGGTATGCCGGCACTAAAAGAGCCGCAAAGTGGGGGAGGCTAACACGCCGATCTAGCCGGACAGGCGCGATGTATCTATCATCACCTCGAGAACGTAGCTAAGAGGCGGAAAGTTTGATGGACCCGCAGTTCCAAACATGAAGGAATTCAAAATCCACGTTGTTGTGCGCTTCCTGACTCGGACCCGATAATAGTATAATGGACCATGCCCTACACAAACGAAAATGAAACGGAATAGCGAAGAAAGTTCGGAAACAGGACGTCGTACCACGAGCAACCCATGCCCTTTTTTCCTAGTGCTTCTAGGCATAGTCACGAGAGGTTCCATGACCTTTCAATTTGGATCGTGACTACAAAGAGAGGTATTAGCCGGGAGTTCCATTGACGCCTCCGAGCAGGATCATCGACTCTTCGTCTTCTTATAATCGAGACTTATAAGAGCCAATGCTATAATTATAGCTAAGAGCCGTTTATCCGTTTATTAGATACGTTATTTATATACTTTAAAGAAGAAACTATTATAGCGATTTAGCCCCTATAGCGCCTCGTCTATCCTTATCTATTAAACTTATACTATAAGCCTATATAGTCTAGTTCTATTAAACCTAATATATATATATATATATATATATATAATATTAGCTAAGAAATTAAATAGTTTACTAGCTAAGCGATCTCTATTTATATAGCCTCTTATTAGCTAGAATAACTCTATATCTATTAAGATATATATAGTCCTTAGTATTATATTATAACCTAGTAGCTTCCGAAGGGGTTATACTATTAGAGGGTTAGGGTTACTATTTATAGAAGCTTAGGTTATAACTCTAAGACGATATAGTATTATAAGGCGTTATATACTTATTATAATAGATATAAAGTAAGACTTAGATTAATTACTATTATAAGAAAGAATATATCTATAAGTACTAAATACCTGTTACGACCTGGCAGCTTCCGAAGGGGGAACACTGTCAGAGGGTTGGGGTTGCTGTTTGCAGAAGCTTAGGTTGTGACTCTGAGACGATGTGGTGTCGTAAGGCGTTGCGCACTCGTTACAATGAATACAAGGTAAGACTTAGATTGATCACTGTCGTGAGAAAGAATGTATCTACAAGTCCAGAATGTCCGTCCTTATATACCTGCCATCCTGTCCTTGTTGTGTTAGGTGGTGAGCTCATGTTGGATGGCTCACTGGTTAGTTGTTGGTGATCCATGATGTTAGGATCACGGGTGTGTTATCCCGTGAGCCATTCCCTGGCTCACTGCGGCGTCCTTGGTGAGCCCGACGACTCACCCTTTATGTCTGAGTGAGCCATCACGTGATTTGCCAGGTGGGCCCGATTCTTATCTTATCGCGCTCCCTGATCGCGGGGTCGTCGATTCGCGGCCGCCCTGCTTCCTTGGTTGTTACATGATGCTCCTCCTCCAGGCCGATGTCCCAGCGGCCATAAGTACTAAGTCCCAGCCGCCTGCGGTGGTTCTTCTCTTGTCATCCTTACTAACCATGACAAAATGTCAGGTCGTGTCATAAAACGTTCGTCTGCCAAAACCGACCAAAGAAAGGCGCTCGCTGCTTTGATTGACTCCGAGGGCGAAATCAAGATGCCTTGTACGGGGTGCTTCAAGCGACATCTCGTCTGTAAGACCGCCCCTGGTTCTTCTCGCTGTGGGGAGTGCATCCGTCGCGGTCGCTCTTGTGTTAGGGTTAGGGTTAGGGTTAGGCGTAAGTTGGTCCCTGGTGGGGTCATGGTCCTGTTTTCTAATGATCG